AAAGCGGAGGTCGGCACGAAGGCACGAGACCTACGAAAGCTAGTCTTCACGCAGGCAGCGACAGACTAGTCCCAATGACCAAGTTATACATTAGCAATCGGAGGGAGATACAACGCTATGGTCACTCACCTAGTCCCAATGACCAAGAGGTCGAGATGGGGACTAGGGAGTGCCTAAGGGGTCCTTATATACTAGAAGGGCTGCTTAGCAACCAAAGACAAGGCGCGAGAGCGAGGCAGTGAAGATGACAAAGGGAGAACAAAGGGCGGGAAGGAAAAGGCAAAGGCATGGCGATCACGGGAACGTAGCATGCGGGTGTGGGAACGTATCTGCAGTGTCCAAACTGGGATGGGCTAAGAAAGGAAATGGTCCGAAAATGGAAGGTGGGCGTCAAGGGGAGGGGAATGGGCGGCAAAAAGGGGCGTCTGTCCAACGTCCGTGACAAAAGACTTGCTGATCACCGTCAGGCACCAGTGCCATATGCTCTCCCTCCACCTCCGGTTCACGGGGCTGCCGATTACTCCAGCTGGCCGGGAACGTCCTACGCGGAGACCTCTGACTCTGGCTATCCGTTCTATATGATGCCTCAACTTGACCTGAGTGTTGCCGCTCTTCCTCTCTATGGTCCTCAACAAGGAGCCCTTCATATGGATCCCCTTGGTATTCCGTCTTCTACCCCTTCCTATGAAGCGCCGCCTATGCAGCAGAATGCACTGGCTGGGCCCTCTCAGGTTGCGCAGAATCAATACCTGCTGAACGAGGACGATCCATATCATCCGGAGCATGCGCAGCCTCAGTGGGGAGTGCCTCACAAAGGCTACTGGGATGGCCATGGAGGCACCTCTTCTGTCCCCGAAGCCGCTGCAGCGCAGTCGGAAAATCCCGATGATCAGCCATCGGACGAACGTCCGCGTATTACGGACGATTCTGCTGATCGGCAAGGGGATGTAGACACAGGGTCAGAATACATCTTCTGGTACTAGCCCCTGATACACCGCTGAGCACTCATATCGACGAGTCGTTCACATGCTGCAGATCGCTGCCACCGCTGCACAATAGCGCTGTGCCCCGATTGGACACTGAGGCCATGCCTCGTGTGCCATGACTGTTAGCAATTCTACTGACGCCTGTTTTCTCGCTATCCTCATGGAGTACACGCTATTGAAAGTCTCCTTCGTTTTGTCGAATGCACCTTGCTGTTTCAATCATAGGCTATCTTCCGCATGTTGTTTGGGCACCGCTTTCTTCGTTCTGTAGATTTTACACTGCTGTCGTCGTGATCCCCTGTCATATCCTCCGCTGTTCTTCTCGCTTCTTCTTCTTCTTCTTCTAGATCCCGTTTATTGCCCTGCGAGGCCGAGCCTCATGGTAGGCCGTAAATACAATCCTGTCTACATGTGTGGTAAAAGGGGTCGGCGGTACATAATCTTCTCGCTTTGTCTATACAATCACTATGACTAGTAACGGAATGCACTCAAGGCGTGTGAAGCATAGTCTCGAGCGGTTCCGTATTGACTAGCATGAGCTATGCGCCGTGTAATGATGGTCTCAAGTCAGATCGAACAACTACGTAGTCCATAGTGTGGCGACAGTAGCAGACTGGGGCTGTGAGGGCTGAGACGATTACACACTCAATATCAATAACACCTGAGGTCAGGTCCAATGAAGTTGAGAGGCAGGCTGGCCACCGCTATAGCGTACTACGTCAGGAAGAATAAGCATCGTCCACGAAGCCGCCAATTCTCTCGTCAGACTCTCCCGTGTGGACGACACAAGTCGTCGAGCCTCGCAGGACAACAGTTAATACCTCGGGTCACGTTTGATCAAGACAAGAAGTGGCGTGGAGTCTTCAGCTTCGAGCGTGACACCCTCGGCCTCGGGCACCCACCGTAATTAACAGCTGTGTTCCCCTTCTCGTGTTAGCGAAGCGTGCATATCACAGTGGATTGTAGGAAGTATCAATCCTGGGAAGAGGATACGGGAGATAATAACAGAACGACTGTCACGAATCCGGGAGCCGTGAATGCGTTACCCAATGTGAGCTATATGGGCCCGATACTATGTATACGACAAATGGAGGCCTCCTACCTGTCAGAAAAACGAGCTGAGCAGCATATTCAGGTCCCTGCCGAGGCATTGACACCGCACAATGGCCACGCGGTCCGCTCGATCGCACGCACCCACAGCCGCTCATATTATATGTCTCACTACGCCCGTCCGATCAGGTCCTTGCCATGTCTTCTATCTGTCATGTAACAGGCCGGCGGGACAGCCTCTTGAGACTGATATCGCACAAGCTACCTTTCTTGGACGCCATAGGATGAGTCAATTGTAGCCATAAGTGACCTGCTATGTTCGACAGACCCACTGGGGATTAGTGCCCGGAAAACAGAGTACTTGAACGGCTAAGAGGACATACTTGCCAGCGAGAGTTCCGAGTCCGCGACACAGCGTGCTTGGTAATACTTGCTGTCCGGCATGCGTGACAGCGCATAACGTTGAAGCCTTCCGGGGTCACGGTCTCACAATCTACTACTTTGAACGCTCAATGAGAGGCATACCTTCCGAACGATGTTTTGCAAGCACCATAGTCCACACATATTCGTATCCGAGCTTGAAGCAGACGCCTACACGCCGTTGCTTCACTGATTACTCGTAGACCGCACATAAGACGCAGTCCGTTGATACCCAAATTCACCGGCGGAGATGTGTCTGGGCTCCCTCGCGGTACAATGGCCCTGTCCCACGAGGTAAGTTGACATATCTTCGTGATACGGGTGGCGTAAGAAGTGTGCTGCAGCGCATGAAGATGCAGGCAGGACGGAAGCAGACTAGATTGTTAGGGCGCCAGGACAGAAGCGCGCAGAGGACACAGGTCTCCCGCGACTCCCAAATCGGGATACTCTTGTTCGATCGTCCATTAAACCGTCGCTACCTTAAGGCCCCCTGGCGATGGTTCCCCACTCTCTACCGTCCACACTGCATGAACTCGGCTACGGATCACAATGGCGTTGTACACCCCAGCCATTGTCACTGTTACCAAGGACCGACAAGGTTTGATACGCGGTGGGCTCAAGTCCTCAGGTGAGCTGTCCTACCATGCTCGTCTCATTCTTCCCTGACTATGCTTCAGGCAGCTTCATCGTCGTAGCACAATGATCAATGAAAAGATCTACGGAATTCTACCTTATGGACTCTTGGCACACTACTCAGTCAACTGCATCTTAAACATGGTATCGGTCGTCCTAGCACCCGCCCGGAATCGTTTCTGGGGGAAGACATTTTCGTTGTTGGTAGTAAGTGCTCTCAAAGATCATACCATCGCATGTGCTCTTCCGCGGGGAACACATACGCTCCTTTGCCTTCTCGCTACTGTAAAGTCTCGCCCCGCTGTATCTCGTGCAAATAAATTTGTCGCAGAATTGGGCCGTGGACTTCACGTGCCAGTTGGCTGTGACTTGGTGACGCATATATGCTACGACCGACAGCATTCTACTGTCGCCGTTGAGTCTTCCGTGCCCCAGACTGCTCTCGTTTGCATTATCTCTGGTTGTTGAGTACGCCGTCTCCGACTGATATCCTAGCCCTGCTGTCACAGAGCTAAGGTATCAGTCACCCCGACATTGTGTGTCACGGTGCGTAAAAGCGGCCCGTCAGCTGTCATGCATCGGTCAGAATGATCGTCCGTCCATGGACGAGGCGAGCTGCAGCACATCATAGACCAGGGACGGTCCAGCGGATATTTCCGCGTCTCTTTGATGCACCGGCGTCCGACGAAGCTTCTCTTGCTTTCCCACAACGCAATTGCGAGTATACGGAGAAATGCGAGTATACGGAGAAATGCGAGTTTACGGAAATGTGCCTCAGAAGGAGACGTGTATTTTGGAATTCCTGGTATGTCACGCTTTCCCTAATGACCTCTCTGCCGGTGAACCGCGTACGCTCATAGTGCCCGTCTCAGCCCTCCGAACTCGCCGACGGGAAGGAAGCGTGTGACAGGGTTATGTTCTCTGCCTTGGTGAGCACCGCCTCGTGTCAGTTTGAACGTCGCGAGCTACAGAAGGGGCTATGGAATGACGGTGACAAGTGCGGCATCCCGGCACGAATCATTGGACTGTGGTGTCCGCAAACGCACCGTAATAATTCTGATTTGGACATCTGCACGAGGCGCATCGTCGGTCCAAGCGTCGCAACTACGCAAGTATATGGAGGCGGAAGTGTGGTGCGCGGCAAACCAGCCAACTTGTCTCTTCACTCTCGACCTTGTACTCCCCCTCGATACCTTGTACTCCTGAGCCACCTTGTTTTCGCGATGTCAGGAAAGAAGAAGTCCGAGAACAAACGCGATACGCGAAAGCCGGACCCCTTGGCTGGTCGGAAACAGGCAGGCATTGTACTCTGTCGCAGTTGCCGTCATTATTGATGTCGGTTGTGTTCCTCAGTATGAAAGCCACGGGCGAAACTTCTTCAGTCCACCACCAGGCCCCCTCCAACAAGCACCAATCGTAGGCGTGCTACAGGAAGGAAATTTCCAGCCGCACCAGCAGGCGGCAGAGAAACCGAGGCGCAAGGCGTCGCCGAACGCGTCGAAGGTGAGCTCTCTCCTGATGCGTTGTCCTGCTTGGGCTGACCGTGTGCTTTCCCTTCAAGTCTCGGGATAAGTCATCCCAATCATCGACCTCTGTAACATCCGTCTCCCAAGGGATTGCTCTGCCTGAAGATGCCCGGGAGCCAGTCAATGGGTCGCATGGGTCGTCCCTCGTCCCTCCTACGGGTCTTGCAGAGGCGCCCCCTACGACCTCTCTCCAGTCTCCAGTTCGTAGCCTTACAGAGTGGCTCGAGCTATTCCCTCCTCCTCACACCACAGCAACCGCACCGTATGTTGGTATGGAACCCCCCTTGGACAACGTCGCCTATCTGGAGCCGTACTTTGCGATGAGTTCAATCCCGCCCCCCATGACTGGCCATCACGCACCATTCGACCCTTACGCTTGGTTCACCGATCCCCCAGCACCATTGCAAGGTGCTTTTGGATATAACCTCTTCGCAGGGCATCAGGCGATGCAAGGCGTGCCCACTTACGACGACCCTGGGACGCGAGTGGCGCACTCTCCAGCGCCTCCCCTGTATGCATACATGCAGCCTCAGGAGGCACATGTCGTACAGCATATCGCGGACACGGTCGTTCCGTCGCAGCGCACGGCGGGCCCAATTCGCACCCGTCATGGAGCAGTGATGCCTCACGATCCGCGTATGGTCACCGTCAATGGATCTGGAGCGCGGCGCCCTGGTCCGTATGACCGCACTGGGCATACCAACGCTCGGGGCCCACGCCCTACGTACACTGTGCCGAATGCCTTCAGCACTGCCAGTCACCCTGGGGTCTCTGATGCTATCCCTTTCCCCGTGGATCCTTACGGAAGTGATCCTTTTGGTAGCCAGCCCATGTCGCAGCCCTTCCCCGCCATGACTTGGGAGACGGACGAGGCACAGTTCGTGAACGCTCATCAATTCGCTGCATATGACCAATCCCTCTTCAATTTCAACGGCGAAGCTTCGTTGCCTGCCCATCTTGCAAGCGACAATTCCGGCACCATCTCACAATCTATCGCGATGAATGGGGAGTGGGACCAACATCTCAGCAGCTTGATGCCCCACCCGCATTATTACACAGGCACAAACAGGACGCATGGCGCTCCAAGCGCATGCTGATCCACTCGTACGCTCCGTACGCGTACTTCACTCATGCTAGGGATGAGGCGCGATCCCGTCTTTCATAGACGACCTCTTATACCGTTTAACCCTCAGCAGCATTGCTCGACTGCATAGAACCGTGTTTCTTTCTCGCATTAGTGTGTTGTTTGGACATGTCTGCTCGTTTCCTACTACCTGTGTCGATGCGTCGTTGGTGTTGTTATACTTAGACTTAGTGTATCGTATCCTGTCGCGCTAGCTGATGAATGTCAAAGCAGCGTCTACGATTTCTCGCGAAGGAATAGTATGTAGTCGATAATAGTCGGTACTGCCTTGGCTTTCAGCCACGATACACATATGCGAGTGAAACCATGATAGAGCTATGAGTCAAGTACATGAAGTACACGTCACGTACTTCACTCATAACGCCACGACGGTTACACTACGACCTTTGATTCACGTATGGGTCATGTGTTTGAACCTCTCGGACAGACCTCGTGACTGCATTCTTCCACGTAACGGCTAGCCCTTCCCAGCTTATTCAGTAACCACCCGGAAGCCCTCGCAACAAATAGAATCAATTGCCAACTTGAAGCAAAAGGTGCAAGACGACCAAGCTCACCTGATATCAGGGATCCTTCACGAACCATTTACAGAGACGATGTCGATCATAGTCAGTTTGCTTTGCCAATATGCTGAGTGCTTGATGTCGTACTAAGTGGAGAACGTCACACGACACCTTTTGACTTGCCTGTCGAACGACCGGTGTCGCAGTTGTTACATTCGTGCCACAACCCAGCGCCCTTCATACATTCTGTGGCGCCGCAATGAACAGGTTAAATCGATGTGTAGACCGTGATCGTGCAAGAAATAAGCCTACCTGACAGCATTCCTCTGCGAGTCTTCAGTACTTCAGTGGACACAGACAGAAGACAGGAGGAGACCACTCTTTATATCCGTCCTGGCGGCTTAGATCGTCCTCATGTCAACCCCCGGCAAGAGGTAGATAGGATTTGGACAGCATTGCCGACGCCAATCTTATTGTTCAGCCTTTGTTGCTCGGTAAATTAGACGGGACATGAGTAAGGACGCGGTTACGAATTCGACGGCGTTGGCGTCCCATGCGTTTTGCCATACCACCTGATTGACTTCTCAATTGTTCTCCCTGTCGCCAATTGTCCGTACCTCGCGACGTAGCAAATAGTGCTTCTTATTGTGATATGATAGGATAAGACATTGTGGAATCAACGCATATTTCGCACGTGATCCAGCTACTCCATGCGCTAAACGAAGTACGCTATCCGATGGACAAGAACTCTCCTTTACGTTGAGCGCACGGCGCCTACTTATCATCGTGGGCCAAAAGGATGGTCTAGGTCCACGTCGCAGCGAGAAAATCACGCGTGCGGATGGGAGGAGCAAAGTCAGGCACATGAGTAGGGTGGGACGTGGGGACGGACAAGGTTCATTGGGCGTTACCGTCGTTGCTGCTTGAAGAGAAGGGTCGCAGCCCATATTGTCGATGCAATTCACCGGCGGGAAGCACTCGCAAACCCTACGAGGCTCGCACCTTATTTCTAGCGCAAGTATTCATTGCAAAACCAATGGGACCGAGCTGCAGTCGATGACAGCTTGTATCGCTTGACCTGTGTGCTGTTATGTACTATCATGCAAGTGAAGCCACGACAGAGCTACGAGTAATACGGATTTGATGATACATAAGATACGTTGAACTGATAACGTTCACGCAATGATGGTCATACTACATCCATTCCCACTACTTCCCATACCCCATCGTCCCTCGTGCAACAGCGCCAGGGCCCTCGCACCAAACAAGTAGACTCACTCAACAATCGGTGCGAGCTGACCGAGCCCATCTAACCTCTATCCGCCTTTAAGTGCACTGGTTTGCACAAGAAAAATGAGACGGAAGCATCGTTTATATCCATCCAGAGTGGCCTCGATCGTCCTCATACATAATAGCCTCCGACGAGAGAGAATAAGGCCTCTGGGAGATATCAACGACGCCGATCTTATTGTTCGGCCTCCATTGAAAGTTGATCCAGACTGAGCATCGATAAGGAGAGGCTCACATATTTTGGCGTCCTTTGCGTACGCCGTTTGTTCCCCCGGTCCTCAACAAGCCGATCTCACTGTATCTCAAATGGTGCGATACGCCTCTATTGTTTCATCTTGGTCTTGGAACAAGACGTCGTTCGGTCGACGGCTAGATACGCTCGGGGTCGGCTACGATATATCTTGTCCCATTCTGCCCGTCAGTTGCAAAACGGAACCCGCTTCGACCGTAGGATGTCTCAGGTGGAGGACGAAAAAAATTGGTAGTTATCAATGATCGTCCCGCCATCAATTTTTCTGCAGCGTATTGAAACTTCTCATGCTGCCTCCGTTGAATGTCGTCCAGGAGAAGATCACACAACTGCTAATAGTAGGAAGAAAAGAGAGGCATGTGCATATATGCATATATCGTTCTATCTACCATTAACTTTACACGAAACCAGAATGCGAGACAAATACACTCCAGACAATGACGACCCGGCAGGTGACCCCAAAAAGTCTCGAAGCCTCCTTCGCCTCGTCTCGCCGTCAGCGCTGCCGCCGATATCATTGCGACAAACAGGAATATTAGCCCCGCCCCAGGGGCAGTGGTATACCGTATGGAACGTGGACACGAAAGATCAACGAGAGGAGACGGCGAGGGGTAAAACGTGAACGAGGGAGGAGGCGGGTAAAGGGTCCGCAACAGGTATGAGCCAGGTAGGAACAAGCAGAAAGCGAGAACGAGGATAGCTAGAGAGGGGAAGGCCAACGGGTAGCAGGTCGGTAAGCTCGCGAATGTATGAAGCCGAGAAGGAGAGGGGCGGTCGGGGGCAACATCAATATGAAAACAAGATACGAGACTGGGGTGCAGTGGTCGTGAAGGATGCTGGGACAATTCACGTACCAAGACAACATGGCCGGCCACCAGCCATGCGCGGCACGATACGCAGAGTGGTGAGAGGGGTAGGGGGGCTGAGACGTGCAGGAGAGCTAGATCAATATACATAGACGGAGCAATGAGCGATCACTCGCGGGCAACCCAGTCAGTACTTCGAGAGACCAGCTCAATAGAGCTGTCGATCGTCCAGAACAGGCGCTCGATTGCGCTTCTACCGCTCCAGCTCTTCTGGTCGCGGAGCACCTTGGCCTAGTAAGATTTCGATCAGTACATGCGCGACTTCGGTGAGTTAACAATATACCTGTTGGGCACCAAAATTGCGCTGATCAAGAGCGAACGTATCCGCGTGCTCATCCAGGGCCTCCGACAGGATCTGCATGTCCTGCATGATCGACTGGATCGCCCTGACCGCAGACATCGTCAGGATCTCCTTCCTGTTCCTCGTCGTCGTCGCCCCGTCGCGGTTCGGCGGCGGCAGCGTCGCGGTGACGTTCTGCAGCACCGTGTGCAGGATCCGCCGCGTCTCGCTCATCAATTTTTGCGCCTGCGGCACGTTCCGCCTCGACACCAGCACGAGCATGCGCGTGATCATGTCCGACGCGAGCAGCTCCATCCGCCTGCGCACGATCACCGGGTCCGAGCTGTTCGGGGCCGGGGTCCGCGGCCTGCTGCCCGTGCTCGGGAGCAGGGTGACGGTGAGCAGGACAGGGTGCGCGAGGCGGGAGACGTTCTTGGCCGCGTTCGGGTCGAAGAACGAGCCGTCGACCTCAAACACGGGCACCTCGTCGATCATGCGGTCCATCATGCCCTCCGCGAGGTCGGGGAAGTCGCTGAGCGACATCGCGTCGAGGCCCATGCGCTGGTTGAACACGTCCGTCGCGTTCAGCGCGCGAGTAGGCTGGACGCCGTTGTGCGGCGAGGGCGGGCTCTGCAAGACGTCGCTGTTGTCCAGCTCGAGCTCGACGAGCATCTCCTTCCGCTCGCCGTACCGGAGCTCGCCAACCTCGACGTCGACGTCCCGGCCATCTGACGATAGGATGGCGAGGGGGCCCCCAGAGATCTTGCGGATCCGGAAGCGGTTGCCATCCACGATCTTCAGGTGCAGCTTCATGTTCGCGAGCCCGATGGACATCATGCCCCCGATGCAGCCCGCGAGGCAATCGCGGAGATCGTACCAGTCCTTCACGAACGTGTACGTCCCGCTCGTGTGGTTCGACATGAGCCAGAGCGATGCCGGATCATGAGACCGCCCGTATCCAAACGAGTGGATAGGCACGTTCGCGGCCTCGGCGCGCGCGAGGACGAGGTCCATCTGCGCCCTGCGTGTCGTCTCTGACGAGTCGCTGACAAGCACGAACCCAGTGACGGGGTTCCGCGATTTGCGCTGCAAGACCACGTCGAGACCTGTTAGGACGGATGGCAACGAACGCCAATCAGTCAAGCGCCCGTCACGACCGCAGACACAGATGGCAGATACGTACCGTTGTTGACCGCAGTCACGACATCCGTCTTGTCTTCTTGCGACCCACGCACGAGGAACTCGTCATCGAAGTCCTCGCGTCTGCCGATGTCCTCGATGAACTTCTGTAGCCGCTGTCGGCTCTGCGGCTTGCCGAGGCTGAGGAACGGCGTCCGGCGCACGCGGCCGCCAACGCCCACTTCGAATGTCACCAAGCTCAGCCGGTCCTTCGACGAGAGGGAGTGGAAGATGAAGTCAAGCGACGTCTTGATCACGCGAATCTTGAGTGCCGCGGTGCTCGGCGTCGACGTGGGGCCAGGGACCGAGATGACGAGGATGAGGTCCATGGGCGGGTGCGCAAGCGGGGCGAGAGAGTTGGACGGCCCGGAGGACATATGCGGCGCGACGAGCGGCTGTGGGGACGAGTACCTGCTGAGCTCGTCGTCCTCCTCGAGCGTGGAGAGTTTCTGGTGGAGACCCGGCCGCGGTCCGAGCGACGCGGAGCCGTACGACGTGTTAGAAGACACTGTCGACCGGGCGGACCCGTTGAGAAGGCTATCGGCGGTACTGACCGTGGTGCCCGTCGTGCTCCCGCTGAGCATGCGCATCGCCTTCTGGTTGCCCCCGTACTCGTCCGTGAGCATCCGCGCGGCCTTGGCGCTCCCGCCGAACTCCTCCAGGTCGGGCGACCGCGCGTACTCGGGCTGTTGTTGCGCCGCCTGCCCGGTCTGCTGCTGGTAGACGGCGACGAGGACTTGGATATGCTGTTTCCAAGTCTCCAACGACGACCGGTCCTTGAAGATGAGGATGAAGGAGTCCAGACGCTCGTCCTCCATGTCGATGGTCAGGGAAAGCTCTCCCTGCACCGACGTGTCCGTGACCTGCCGGATGTGCCGGATGTAAATGCGCCCCTTCAGGCGGAGGACTCCCTTCTGCGAGCTCCCGCCATTGATCGAGCCAGACCCAGTACCGTCACCAAACGCAGACGCCGCACCCGCGGACGAGAGCAGGCGGCCGAGCGTGCGCTTCTTCTCCTCCACGACGCAAATGATCGCCTCCTTGAACAGATAGACGAAGAACTCGCGTACGAGCGCGTCCCGCCGGACCGACAGAAGGTCGTACATCTGGAGCGGCCCAAGGCCAGACAGCGGGTGGCCCTTCCAGTCGATGATGCGGTTCCGGAGATCCTCCGTGATCGAGCTGAACGGCGAGTCCTCGTCCTGCTGGATGATCTCGCGCTCCAAGGGCGAGGTCACGAGCGGGTCCCTAGACGCCGAGGGCGACATGCGGTGTGACCTCCCGGACTGCGACTGCTGATCGGCGGGGATGTGCTGCGACTGAATTTGTGGCGACATGGTATAGTCCCCTGGGTGGTTCCCCGAATGCACCGAGTGGTTGCTCCCGTCGCGGTAGAGCGCGGGGTTCTTCTGCTGGGGCGTGAAGGCGTCCGAGACGGGCATGACTGAGCCCGGGACGTGAGTATTTTGCCGCTTTCCTGGGAGCTCGACGACGACCAAGCACGTAAGTGGCTGGCTTGGCTCCGAGCTGCGCGTGATGGTTGGGAATTCCGACTGGACGTGGATTGAGGGCGCGACGACGTAGTGGGACTGGTCGTGGGCAGCGGTGGCTTTGTGTTCTACTGGGTCGTCCTCTGTTGGATCGAAGGGCTTCTGTGCTGTCGCCGCCATCGCCCGTTGGTACGAACGCATGGATGATGGGGTGTCGCGTCCCGGGAAGAGATTGGGGCCGTTGGGGTCGCCCATGCCAGTAAGGGCAGCCAATTCTGTGAACGGTCAGAATATACACCTACGCAGGGTCGAGGCGCAACGCACTGTTTGATTTCCCTCCATCTCCATCACCAACCTTCATTGGTCTTCTGCAGACTCCGCATACGCCAAGGTTAGACTTCCGGATGACACCGCCAGCTCGTGAGGGACCGGGCGGGGGGCCATATACAGCGGTAAAGCACGCCTAATTCCAAACGATGTTAGTGAATTCGTAGGCGAAGACGCGATATGAACATGATGCAAGCCAGAAGTATATAAAGGAGCGCGTAATAGCCGATCGCAATGCGTACAGTGCCGAAACTCGATCCGCGGGATTGTCGAGCGACATACGCGGTTTTGCCATTTAAGGCACCTTAACCTTGAAGCTAGATGTCCGCGTCCTTTCGCACAGGTACGTGGGGAGTCTAATGAATGGTCTGAAACGATGGAAGGGCAGCTTGTGGCGCGCGACGGCCCATACGGCTGCGGCCCAAGACACAGCTAATGTGCGAGCGCGCGACGTGCAACGCGGGCACATCTAGAATACAACGAGATGAAGCGGAGAAGAGAGGGCACCCGGACGACGAACGATAGTACACAACATATAAGAAGGGATATGCAACGCAGGTCTGGCGAGAAGGGGGGCAGAAGGCGGTGCTCACTTCATGGAGGGCATGTCCACACTCTGGTACGATGTGAGGCTTCTCGCCGGGCAGCCTGAAGCTGGAGCTGAGAGGCTCGAGGCAGACGGGGCACTCATCTTCCTCATCGGAGGCGTCATGGCTGGAAACGACAGGTAGGGGACCGGCGACCATGGCGGCGTAAGGGTGGAGGTTGGAGGTGTCGACTTGGGAAGTGTAGGACGGAGGCTTTGCGGAGGAGTTGGCGGAGTATGCCGAGCGTAGGGACGCAGCAGAGGTCGCGCGGTGCGGAGAACGCTGAAAGACGGAGCGGACGGAGGCAGCGAAGGAGCTGGCCTTGTTGGTGGGAGCAGCGGCTCGGGGGGTGAGGAGGGGGGAGGAGGGAGGAAGAAGCTGTTGATGGGAGTTGTTGGACTGATGAAGTTGAGGCTGATGTCTGGCTGGCGTGCTACTCGAATTCTTCGGAATCCAGCCTGATGAGAATTCCGACTTCATACAGGTCGCACGCGAGGCGTCAGGGGAGAAACGAGCGGGGGGCGGTCCTGGCGGTCGAGGCGGGCGGGGGGCGGGGGACGGTCGCGGTCGAGTGTACTACAGACCAACGATCGAGCCGCACAGGCGGTGGTAATTTGTGCCCTCAACGGCCGATCCAGATCTCTCTTGTATTCCCAGCATTCATCCATCCTGCTTTCTCCCCAGGCGAGTCGCACAAACAACTCGTCCATTGTGTGCGTGCTCGAGCGGTGCGCCCTCTACGTCCGCGCACTCTGTCCCGCGTCGAACTGGCAACCTCAGGTCGGACAATGGCTCAGCGCACTATAGCCACTATTAGCCAGCGATTAAGATCTGCCGCGGTGGAGTCCAGGTACTCCCGGCTTCTCGGCCACCTTCGGGCCATTCCGGCACCCAATATGGCAACTCCCGTACGACGCCCCGGCTGCAACCCCCGCCCGCTGTAAGCTCTATCAAACTTCATGCTCCCTGCCGACTTCATGAGAGCCATACGTCCTACAACGTCTGCAATTGCCCGAACCATCACGTACCAAGGTGCCAGACATTGTGCGGAATTGCCTGCCAAGCTGCCATACCACTATTCGGTGGCGTACCGAGGTGGCTGGCGCCCCCCGCTCTAGGCCAGATCGAGCACACGAGACGCGACACAGAGTCGGGTGAAACGTTGACGCCCTTCCACCAGATCTGACGGCGAACCAGAACTTCGTCCGACCTTCCAACGTCGAACTGAGCCATAGCCGCTATTCTCACCCATCTGACCCCGCCCGCATGCTTTAGGAATACCGCCAACGGCTCCTGACAAGGGGGCAAGAGTAGTTCAACTGGCCTTCCAACTGTTTCCTCCCTCACGATACTGAGTACCATAAATCTGAACAACAATGCTCGACATGATCCGCGGGGCTCCCTCCATCGCTGGCCGCGGATGCGCCCATCAAGTCATCCTCAAACCCATCCGCGGCTTACCGACTTTGTCAGATCAGACGCCCTCAAATGCCTGATTTCCAAGGAATGAATCGTTGTGCCATAGCCGAGCTTTAACCTTTCCGAGCTTCAGGAAACAAGATTGCTTCTGTTTATCGGTCTCGGGAGTCGCCAGTGCCCGCTACTGACCATTGGACGAGCGTGAAGTTCATTCTCCAGCCTTCTGACAGAAATCAATTGACCAACAGCACATGGACGACAGTAATGTACGCAGCGTGAGTGCTTTTTAGTCCTCCAAGCGTACACCTCAATGTTCACTTACTGTATCTCTCGCATATCGTAAAGATAGCTCTCTAGAAGCATCCCGTGTGGAACCCTCTTGGCGCGAAAATGGCTTTGCATGAGCGCTCTTAAATGCTGCCCTGCTCTCACCGCGGTCAAGGCATACCTACCCGGCGAGGACCTGCAGAAGGTGCGAGGTGCGTACGTCGCACATACGTTGGCCTTCATTGGCCATGTCAACTGGGAAACCAGCGCAGGTTACTTGTCCTGTGGTAAGTACACTGATGGTCTTTCCGCGTGCAGTCACGGTTACCTAAATTCGAGCTGTTTCCTGTGCAGTGCCTTACTCCGTAGCACGCTTCGCGATCAACTTCGCGAACTCCAGCGCTCTCAGATAAACGGAAGACCGCTCCCGACAGAAGCGAATTTTTTGGACACCTGCTGATATAGTTCTCTTGATTTCGACAGCACTGGGGTTCACATGACGCCATGCCAGATGCTTTCAGTGATGGTCACAGCGGCAGTCGATCATGCCTGACAGTTCGTGGAACCCTGTGCGCGATTGTTCCTATGTCTCAAAGTTTACTCATGAGTGTCAAAGTCTATGTTGCCCATATATCACGTCGTCTCGAAGATAGAACTGATAACTATTTGTCGCCAGCGTAGGGAGGGATAACCATGTTCTTCGCTCGTCTTCCGGAGCATCACCCCGGCCATCGCTCTGCGCCTTTGTTCACAAATACCCTGGGACAGACTGCAGATCAGGCATCACACGCCCCCCACCTCAACGCCCTTCGCGCACTACAGTACTTCGATCTCGCCTCTGGCGAGTTCCCCTCGAGTGCCGGGATTGGTAGATCGCGTCCGAGCTTGAGTGCACGTTCGCTCGGCTATCCCTCGAAGGAGCCGTAAACGCGTCCGACCTCGACTCGGGTTCCTGTCGATCACAGGCGGCTCTCGGTGTGCCTGGCGTTGAGCGACCGAAACGGATGGTCTTGGCCAGAGTGGGGCGGGCAAGTCGGTATGTACAGCCTCACTTCCAACTTCCAAGAACGCGCTTCCCTTCTACAACCCGAAGCGGACTATGTTCGCTTTGCTGCATTCGTTCCCGTCTTTCTCACCGCCGCCACTCGCTTGCCACTTAGGAGGATCTGCGGGTTCGTCCAGTACTGTAATGGACCGGTTATGGTAAACGGTGACGGGGAGCACAGCCTCATACTCCCCGACTGACCCGATCATGGGCGGTGACGACTGCCATGAGTATCGTTCACATGGTTAGACAAGTGAACCAATCATGCGTGTACGTATGTACATATAACGCCTGCAAACGTTGCTCACGTTGCTCACGTTGCTCGGCTTCTCACAAGCCAACGTCTCATCGACGGTGAAAGTGTGTCGGGTCCCAGCCCTACTGGTACGTGTTGTGGTGTACTGGGTTGCCTGGAACCCCTCGCTCAACCCTTCGGCTCATAGATTGGCCTTGCCCGTTAGGGTAGCATATTCGATGACAGTCGATTGTCCTGGCGAAGTCCATCACCACACGGTGTCCCTCAGGCTCATCAGGTTACCGGAGCCGACGTCGCAGAGCTGCCAGCCGCTGCTCCCAGTGAGTATCCAAAGGCTGTGAATCAATATGGATTGCAGGCGATCGACTTGGCACGACCTTATGTCTATGATCGCTGGACTTTCATAAATATACAGTCCGGCACCCGTCAACGGTGCTTACCAAGATCGGTATGGATCGGGGTCACTAGCTTTACAGGTGCCTACATGCTTCCCCAGAACTTGTCGATTACGGGTTCGTCTGCCCAGCGGTGGACGCTCTGCGCACGCTGCACAGGCTGCTAGAGTTGGCTACCAGCAAGCAAATATGATCTAACGCTTCTCAATCGACAAGAAGCTCTTAGAACAATCTGCATAGTCGTCGCTACTGGGTAGGTAGCTGTCATCGGACTGGCGCAAGAAATCCACGTTCAACCAACCTCGAGCCAGAAGCTACAGCGAATCTATGAGTTCTCTGGTCGTCTATATCCTACTCAGTCTGCATATCGAGGGCACCGATAGACCCTTAAGTCGCATCCGCGCGGCCACCTTGCCTTCTGTCGTTTGTGGAGGATCGACGTATGAGCTATTTTATACATAATCATAATAGGGATTACATCGTCGTAGTCTCTACTCAGGACCTCAATGGGAGGCTACGTCTTGGATGCACCGATTCACTGATGTCCGTCAAGTGACGACAGTACTAGAAGGCGTGTAGACCATGAAAGTAGACGTGACTCATCCCGAGTGGCCAGTGCGAACAGACAAATATTCGTTCTCCTGTGTTGGTTTCACTCAAACGACTGACTGTCTTCAATCTCGGTGGGCCACGTGGTTCCGGGGTTAGAGCAGAAAAATGACGTCACGTGTGCGACATACGCCGGCTATGGCACGGGAGCGCGTCGCCGCAGGACTGACAACCTCGCCGATCGTTCAAATCGCGGTCGATAAGTAGACAGAGGGTTTCTTCATGAACCTCTAGGCCATCGTCACCTATTGACACACAAGCAGAATCGGAGGCAAAGGAGAGCAGTCATGGGTCACCTCATCACCGTCGCGACGTCAGTCACTGCAAGCTTCATCTGTTTTCAATAGCCTTTGTGCTGACAGCAGCATTCTAGTTGGTATGCGTCCCACTACGTCCCAACCAGATAGTTGCCACCCTGACTGCGCATCTTAGCTCGCTCAACCAATGGGCCTTAGATTTCGAAGTGAGCTTCAGTTGGTGTCTTCTCATGCACCGGAGCTGGGAACCGAATACGACCGTAGGGGAATCTTCACCGCATCCTAGAGAGTATCGGGATCGCCAAAGAAAAGGGAGCTACTCTACGCGTTGGTCCTGAACTCGAGATCACGTAGGCTTCCGATCGCGATGCCGACTTCCCATACCACTGATCAGGTGTCATGCAGAGGCTACGGCTGTATGGACCATTTCCTCGAAGGTATGTCGCGCAAGTAATTATCATCAGCGAGGATCTTACCCGACAGAGTAATCCTTAGGTGACACCTGCCTCCATGCATGGGAGGTGTTAGGAGTGATTTTACAGTCGGAGGAGGCAAGGGATATTGTTTGCGATATCGGGATGTCAGTGCACTCTTATCTGACGATGCGCGAGACTCACTGATACCACCCATAGGCCTGTCATGCACAAGAACGTAATCTACAACTGCCGTGTGGTTATCCACAACGGCAAAATTCTTCTTATCCGCCCCAAGATGTGGATGGCTAATGATGGCAATTACCGCGAGCTTCGGTGGTTCACACCTTGGATGAAACACCGCCAATATGAGGATCACTACGTGCCTCGCATCATCCACGCTATTACCGGCCAGGTATATTGCTCCCATTGACCGATCAGAATAAACAATCGCCCATACTCCTTCTCCAGACCAAGGTACCTTTCGGAGACGCAGTGGTAAGTACCATAGACACATGTATCGGCATTGAATTGTGCGAGGAGCTCTTCACTCCGGCAAGGTATGATCGCACCATTCCCATTCGACGATGAAGATCTGATCTAGCGCAGTCCACATATCCTCATGGGCCTAGACGGCGTCGAGATCTTCACAAACTCCAGCGGTAGCCACCACGAGCTTCGCAAGCTCTACCGCCGCATCGAGCTGATGAAGGAAGCCACGATGAAGGTGTGATAATTCATGCGCAACCGCCGCCCGTCGCTGATATCGTATTCTGTAGCTCGGAGGCATATATCTCTATGCGAACCAACAAGGCTGCGACGGCGATCGTCTCTACTACGACGGCTGCGCTATGATCGTCGTAAACGGCCGGGTCGTCGCCCAGGGCTCGCAATTCTCCCTCCAGGACGTCGAAGTGGTCACAGCGACGATCGACATCGAGGATATCCGCTCGCACCGCGCGACGAGTAGCCGGAGCAACCAGGCGGCTGGGGCGGAGCGCTACCATCGCATCGAGGTCGACTTCGCGTTATCTGGGATGAAGGGCGATGAAATCAAGGATTTCAGCGAGCTCGTTGTCGCCCCGCTCCCTGAGGTGCGGTACCACCAGCCAGAGGAAGAAATTGCGTAGGTGGTAGATAGCAATATGTGCTAGGCTGTTCTGACACGGAATTCGCAGACTGGGTCCAGCCTGTTGGTTGTGGGACTATCTGCGCCGCTCCAGGACGCAGGGATACTTCATCCCGCTGAGCGGCGGCATCGATAGCTGCGCTACGTCCGTAATCGTCTACTCGATGTGCCGCCTCGTCGCTGAGGCGGCGCGCAAGGGCGGTCCGTGTCCTCCCATCCCGACCCCGTTATCATCGTTGCTGACTTCCGGGGAACAGACGAGCACGTCATCGCCGACGCGCGGCGCATCGCGGGCGAGGCCCCCGACTCGGACTACACGCCGACCGACCCGCGCGAGTTCGCGAACCGCATCTTCCACACGTGCTACATGGGTACGGAGAACTCGTCGCCCGAGACGCGCAAGCGCGCCAAGGACCTCGCGAACGCGATCGGCTCGTACCACATCGACCTGAACATGGACGCGCTCGTCACGGCCGTGCGCGACCTGTTCGCGTACGTCACCGGGGTGAAGCCGAAGTTCAAGGTGCATGGAGGCTCGGGCGCGGAGAACCTGGCGCTGCAGAACATTCAGGCGCGGCTGAGGATGGTCGTTGCGTACTTGTTCGCGCAGCTGATGCCGTGGGTGCGGGGACGGCAGGGTGGGCTGCTCGTCCTCGGGAGTGCGAACGTCGATGAGAGGTAAGGCTGATGTGTGGACATCTCGGAAGGCTTGCCTAACGTGCACATACAGTTTGCGCGGATACTTCACGAAATACGACTGCTCATCTGGTGAGCCTTTGTTTCGTATGAGGGCGCCCTATGAGTAGAACTGATCTCGGGTGTGCAGCTGACATCAACCCGATTGGTGCTATCAGTAAGACGGACCTCAAGAAGTTCATCGCTTATGCACGGGGCGCATTTGAGCTCCCTGTGCTCACCGAGTACGCTCTTTAACCTTTTGGATCCTCCACGCCCTCTACTAATGCTCCCAAAGATTCCTGGAGGCGGTGCCTACCGCCGAGCTCGAGCCGATCACAGACAGCTATGTCCAAGCGGATGAGGTCGACATGGGCATGACCTACGACGAGCTCTCCGTCTTCGGACGGCTGCGGAAGGTCGAGAAATGTGGTCCGTGGAGCATGTTCACGAAGCTTGTGCATGAGTGGGGCTCGTTCTTGTCTCCCCAGCAGGTTAGTCTCCGTTGAGAACCTGTACATGGTAGCTGCCTGCTGACAGTTGCTTGATGTTGTAGGTCGCTGAGAAGGTCAAACATTTCTTCTTCGAGTACGCGCGTAACAGGCACAAGATGACAACGCTCACACCGTCATATCATGCTGTGAGTAGCTCCTTCTCCGAGCTGTAGCTGTGGAACGATATTTAACGTCCGTGTAGGAGCAATACAGCCCGGACGACAACCGTTTCGACCTCCGGCCCTTCTTGTACCCCTCGCGCTTCCCGTGGCAATTCAAGAAGATCGATGAGGCGGCTGCCAGATGGCCAGACCGCTCTAGTCTGAAACCATCCGATGCGAAGGACAAGATCTCTGTCCTGCCTTAAGACGACCACGCTTTATCCCAAACCGTCGATTGCGAGTGTATAGAAATACAGGTGTGGTGTAGATGACAGAAATAACAGAGAGCTCGATGTGTAGCGATAAATAGACAACGAATGTATACGCATGCTGTAGGGTAAATGGCGGGGGCAATGTGACTAAGTTCTATGAACGCACGAGGAAGCGTGACAGAGCTCCTTGGATAACAATCTTCTTCATGATTGTGGGCTCCGGTGCTGTGGGATAAAAAGAGAGCATCATCAGTACAATCACAAGTGCTAACTTCTGATGGGACTTACGATCCGCGAGGTTCTCTTCCTTGACTTTCCGCTTCACGCTGTCCATGACCTCGCTCACCGCCGAGCGATCTAGGTCGCTCCGCGCTTTCATCAACGCCTCTACAAACTGTATGCAGGGGCCGTGGACCTTCGCGAACGACCAGTACGAGAGGAAGACCAAGCTTTTGGACGCTTCTAGCATCGCCAGTACCTGGTCGAGGACCTCCATCTGCGGCTCGAGCTCCTTCATTTTCTTGTATGTCCCGAAGAACTGGTACGCGTCGTTGATGTCCTGCCGTATCCGCTCCGTCGCAGCGGGCATGTTCAGCTTGGGACCATTAGCAAGGGCGGTGAGGTACGTGACGAGGTAGGTGTCGAGTAAATCCTCAAGTAGGACCTCAAAGAGGGACTCGTTGAGGTACGACTGGTAGTCCGACATGTAATCGCGCATAGTCTCAATAATCTGCGCGTGCGTGCCCTCGTACCACGTGGGCCCGAAGAGCTGCTTGACTGCGGGCTTGAGGTCGTTGAAGATGATGTTGATGAGCGTCTGAGTGTACTTCTTCGCGACGTCGAGGTAGCCGTCGAGCGCGTCGTTGAGGCGGTCGTGGATCGTTACGCTGTACTTCTCCGAAACGAGCGGCTCGATGCGCGCGGAGAGCGCCTCCGTGAAGTCTGCAGACTTGATCTGGTCGTTCGCGAGCGCGATGCAGTACTCGACGAGCCCCCCAGGAACCTCCTCCGGCTTCTCGATGTGCTTCTTGTACTCGGTGTCGACGAGCTTCACCCAGCGGTCCTGGATGGAGCGCATCACGCGGTTGACCTCCTCGACGGCGCGCGCGAGGACGAGACCCTGGCCCGAGTCGAGTGCCAGGTCGATCTGCTGGTTAACCATGTCAAGGAAGATGACCGTGCCCGAGGTCGTGTAGAGGCCGTCAGCGCTGAGCTCGGGCGGCTCCTCGCGGGCGGTGAAGGCCGCGACTTCGGTTCGCATGAGGTTCTCGGACCACTCGTCGAGCTTCTTGATGATGAGCTGGAGGTAGTCCTCGATCAGGCTCTGCTCCTTACCCTCGAGCAAGGGTGGCTCGAGGAGCTCTGGCGGAATGTTGAGTTCGCGCATGCTCTTCTTGTACTCCTTGATCCAGGCATGCAGCGTGAGGAGCACGCTCGCCTCGGGCTCCGACTTGACGAGGCGCGTGAGGGTGTTGTTGAGCGCCTTATGGTACTCACGTACGTAGGTGGACCAGATGTCGTAAGAAGGAGGGAAGCAGGGGACGACGTCGCTCTCGATGCGGATGAGATCTTTGTAGATGAAGACGAGGTCGTCGAGGAAGCCGGCGGCATTGCGCTCGTTCGCGGCGTAGACCTCGTCGAACTTGGCCTGAATCGAATCTGTGATGCATTTCATGACTTTGGAGCGGTAGTGCTTGATCACGCGAGCGTCGGCCTGCATTGACCTGAACTTGGACGCGGCGTCTATCTTTCCTGCCTTCTTCACGAGCCTGATGGCAATCGCCTGCACATGATGCGGTCAGCAGTTATCCCAAACGACAGCGAGGTTAGAAGTAATGAAGTGTTGAATCCTCGGGCTAGCCAGCCGTCGGAAGAGGGGCAGATATGCGCCTACACTCACCTTCTCGTCCTCCCTTGCCTCCATCTCCACAACCTTCAACAGTCGTACGATCACATCAGGGTTCCCCGCTCGCACAATAGGAAGGATGTTTTTCGCCAGCTCCATAACGTACTCGTCAAAGGCTTCGATGAGACGTGTCAATCGCTCGAACCAGCGAGTGAGGGTATTGCGGGTATCGGTCGAAGACTTCTTCGCTTGGTGCATTGTCTGGTTACGGAACGCTTCAAGACGGTTGAGCGCGAAATGTATTCGGAGGAGGTTGGGAGCGGGGCCGAGGATGTCATTGCTGTCTTCGATGAGCATCTGCTCAAGCATTTCGAGCTTGGAGTTCATCTCGAGGAGGTTGTTCACCATCTCCTCCGTCTGCTCGAAGTTACGGTGAACCATCGAGACCTATGTATGCGTGTATAGGCTTAGTCCGTCACACTCGGGGAAGCAGAGCTGAATAAATGCCTACTCTACTAATCTGGTCAAACGTCGAGACAACGTACGCAGGGTCACCACACGTCCTGTCCACGGTCTCCATCTCGTCCTTGATGCTCTGCACATTGTTTCGTGTTCCGAACAGCTTCCTCAGCCCATCCCGCGTCGCATCCAACTGCTCTTTCACACCGCTCCGTAGTCGCGCGTCGATAGAGGCCTTCTCCTTCTCGAGTTTCTTTCGGAACGCCGCGACCTTGGCAAGGTCGTCAGGAGACTGCAAGTATTCGCCGACAGCCTGAGCAGCAGAGATTGTGGGTGCAGCCATGATAGTCAGGTAATAAAAGGGGCGATGGACGGGTATATTAGGGTCAGTGCACTTGCATTCCCAAACGCAGGTGCTCAAGACAACAAGCAGTTGTCGAGAAGTTAGAACGTTGCTCGCTGCATTGGTGACGGCTGTGGCGGGCCGCAGATTCCCGATGCCATCATCCTGGCACTACATACTACATATTACTTACACACATAATGTCGTGCCTCGGACGTTCCCCATTTTACAAACAGGACTTGATCTAACAGTTCTCTGACAGAGGCAGTGCGATCGGGAACACGGGCATCAAGCAGGCGCGAGCTACAGACGAGACGAAAAGGCTCGGCGCACAGGTGCGTACTAGTATTCTATCAACATGGTACTCAAGTGCCGACTGGAACGAGGATGAAGGCCACGCGTAGCGGTAATTTCTCATCGCTTGATCCGTCCCGACGACCCACCCTGATCATGCTTCCCCCCTCCGTATGCGCGAGTTTCTCGCTGCGGATATCTCTGCCGTATAGACCTCAAGTATCCCTTCAGCCCACGAGAGATGGGCGACATGGTGGTTGGTCGACATGCACTCCATACAAGGAAAGTTTCCTACTTTGTTCAGCTCATAGGCCCAACGGGTGGCTGGACCACGAGTGTGACCAAGCGTCAGCCCCATGATGTCTTGGCTTAGCATATCGCCAAGATTGCTCCGCTAAATGTCTGTCGCGATGTACGGACAATTGGCGACAGGGAGAACAATTGGGAATTCGATCAGCTGGGATGGCAAAAGGCGTCGGTATGCCTATGCCATAGAATTCATGACCACCTCTTTACAGATGTCCGATCCAAGTCACTTAGTAACGAGAGCTGAACAATAAGACTGGCGTCGGCAATACTGCCCCGGCCAGACGCCTATCTCTCGTCGGGGTTGAGACGTCGACGGTCCAAGCCCCCTGTACGGATATAAAGAGTGCTCTCTTCTCCTGTCTCCTGCGCATCCACTGAAGATGCGCGAAGTAAGGCAATGATCAGGTAGGTTTCTTCTCTTGCACGGTCTACACAGCGATTGAACCTATCCATCGTTGCGCCACAGAATGTACGAAGGGGTGTGTGGCACGAATGCACAACTGCGATACCGGTCGTTTGACAGGCAAGGAAAAGGGCGTCGTGCGATGTTGGCCGCTGCGTACGGCATCAAGCCGCATGGTGGTTCCCTCGACGCATGATAGTACTGAGAATACAGGCCAAGCAAACCTGCTCATTATCGACATCGCTCCTGCAAACGGTTCGTGATGGATCCCTGAAATCAGGTAAGCTTGGTGGTCTTGTACCTCTTGCTTGGCAATTGAATCTATTCGTCTCAAGGGCTCCAAGCTGCTAAGGGCCACATGTTATGCGGACAAATGTATCCACGAGGTCGGTCAAACTGACTATGACCGACATCGTCTCTGTAAATGGTTCGTGAAGGATCCCTGATATCAGGTGAGCTTGGTCGTCTTGCACCTTTTGCTTGGCAATTGATTCTATTTGTTGCGAGGGCTTCCGGGCGGTTACTGAATAAGCTGGGAAGGGCTAGCCGTTACGTGGAAGAATGCAGTCACAAGGTCTGTCCGAGAGGTTCAAACACATGACCCATACGTGAATCAAAGGTCGTAGTGTAACCGTCGTGGCGTTATGAGTGAAGTACGTGACGTGTACTTCATGTACTTGACTCATAGCTCTATCATGGTTTCACTCGCATATGTGTATCGTGGCTGAAAGCCGAGGCAGTACCGACTATTATCGACTACATACTATTCCTTCGCGAGACATCGTAGACGCTGCTTTGACATTCATCAGCTAGCGCGACAGGATACGATACACTAAGTCTAATTATAACAACACCAACGACGCATCGACACAGGTAGTAGGAAACGAGCAGACATGTCCAAATAACACACTAATGCGAGAAAGAAACACGTTTCTATGCAGTCGAGCAATGCTGCTGAGGGTTAAACGGTATAAGAGGTCGTCTATGAAAGACGGGATCGCGCCTCATCCCTAGCATGAATGAAGTACGCGTACGGAGCGTACGAGTGGATCAGCATGCGCTTGGAGCGCCATGCGTCATGTTTGTGCCTGAGTAATAATGCGGGTGGGGCATCAAGCTGCTGAGATGTTGGTCCCACTCCCCATTCATCGCGATAGGTTGTGAGATGGTGCCGGAATTGTCGCTTGCAAGATGGGCAGGCAACGAAGCTTCGCCGTTGAAAATGGAGAGGGATTGGTCATATGCAGCGAATTGATGAGCGTTCACGAACTGTGCCTCGTCCGTCTCCCAAGCCATGGCGGGGAAGGGCTGCGACATGGGCTGGCTACCAAAAGGATCACTTCCGTAAGGATCCACGGGGAAAGGGATAGCATCAGAGACCCCAGGGTGACTGGCAGTGCTGAAGGCATTCGGCACAGTGTACGTAGGGCGTGGGCCTCGAGTGTCGGTGTACCCTGTGCGGTCATACGGACCAGGGCGCCGCGCTCCGGATCCATTGACGGTGACCATACGCGGATCGTGAGGCATCACTGCTCCATGACGGGTGCGAATTGGGCCCGCCGTGCGCTGCGACGGAACGACCGTGTCCGCGATATGCTGTACGACATGTGCCTCCTGAGGCTGCATGTATGCATACAGGGGAGGCGCTGGAGAGTGCGCCACTCGCGTCCCAGGGTCGTCGTAAGTGGGCACGCCTTGCATCTCCTGATGCCCTGCGAAGAGGTCATATTCGAAAGCACCTTGCAATGGTGCTGGGGGATCGGTGAACCAAGCGTAAGGGTCGAATGGTGCGTGAGGGCCAGTCATGGGGGGCGGGATTGAACTCATCGCAAAGTACGGCTCCGGAAAGGCGACGTTGTCCAAGGGAGGTTCCATACCAAGATAAGGTGCGGTTGCTGTGGTGTGAGGAGGAGGGAATAGCTCGAGCCACTCTGTAAGGCTACGAACCGGAGGCTGGAGAGAGGTCGTAGGGGGCGCCTCTGCAAGACCCGTAGGAGGGACGAGGGGCGACCCATGCGACCCATTGACTGGCTCCCGAGCATCTTCAGGCAGAGCAATCCCTTGGGAGACGGATGTTACAGAGGTCGATGATTGGGATGACTTATCCTGAGACTTGAAGGGAAAGCACACGGTCAGCCCAAGCAGGACAACGCATCAGGAGAGAGCTCACCTTCGACGCGTTCGGCGACGCCTTGCGCCTCGGTTTCTCTGCCGCCTGCTGGTACGGCTGGAAATTGCCTTCCTGTAGCACACCTACGATTGGTGCTTGTTGGAGGGGGCCTGGTGGTGGACTGAAGAAGTTTCGCCCGTGGCTTTCATACTGAGGAACACAACCGACATCAATAATGACGGCAACTGCGACAGAGTACAATGCCTGCCTGTTTCCGACCAGCCGAGGGGTCCGACTTTCGCGTATCGCGTTTGTTCGCGGACTTCTTCTTTCCTGACATCGCGAAAACAAGGTGGCTCAGGAGTACAAGGTATCGAGGGGGAGTACAAGGTCGAGAGTGAAGAGACAAGTTGGCTGGTTTGCCGCGCACCACACTTCCGCGTCCATATAGTTGCGTAGTTGCGACGCTTGGACCGACGATACGCCTCGTGCAGATGTCCAAATCAGAATTATTACGGTGTGTTTGCGGACACCACAGTCCAATGATTCGTGCCGGGATGCCGCACTTGTCACCGTCATTCCATAGCCCCTTCTGTAGCTCGCGACGTTCAAACTGACACGAGGCGGTGCTCACCAAGGCAGAGAGCAGAGGCCTGTCACACGGTTCCTTCCCGTCGGCGAGTTGGGAGGGCTGAGACGGGCACTATGAGCGTACGCGGTTCACCGGCAGAGAGGTCATTAGGGAAAGCGTGACATACCAGGAATTCCAGAATACACGTCTCCTTCTAAGGCACATTTCCGTATACTCGCATGTGCGTTGTGGAAAAGCTAGAGAAGCTTCGTCGGGCGCCGATGCATCAAAGAGACGCGGAAATACCCGCTGGGCCGTCCCTGGTCTATGATGTGCTGCAGCTCGCCTCGTCATGGACGGACGATCATTTCGACCAATGCATGACAGCTGCCTAGCCGCTGTTACGCACCGTGACACATGTTCTCGAGATGACTGATACTTTATCTCTGCGACGGCAGAGCTAGGACATCAGTCGGAGACGGCGTACTCAGAAATCAGAGATAATGCAAACGAGAGCAGTCTGGTGCACGGAAGACTCAACGGCAACAGTCGAACGCTGTCGGTAGCGGTATATGTGCGTTGTGACGAGGAAAAAGTCACATACAACGGGCGTGCGGAGTCCACGGCTCGATTCTGCGACAAATTTATTTGCACGAGATACAGCGGGGGAGGAGGGGGGTAGACTTTACAATGGCGAGGAAGCAAAGGAGCGTGCACGTCCACGCAAAAGAGCACATGCAAGAATACGACCTTTGAATTTGAGAGCACTTACTACCAACAACGAAAATGTCTTTGCCCAGGAACGATCCCAGGCGGGTGCTCACGGTGGGACAACCGGTACCATGGAGCGATATGCAGTTGGGTGCGTAGTATTCCAAGAGTACATAAGGTTGGCTTTTTTCACAGGTGACTTTGCCACGACGATGAAACTGCCGAAAGCATAGTCAGTGGAAGAATGAGACGAGGATGGTGGGATAGCTCACCTGAGGACTTGAGCCCACCGCGTGTCAAACCTTGTCGGTGCTTGATAACAGTGTAAGTGGCTCGGATGTACAAAGCCATTGTAATCCGTAGCCGAATTCCTATAGTGAGGACGGTAGAGAGTGGGGAACCGTCGCTAGGGGGCCTTGAGGTATGTAGGGACGGTTTAATGGACGATCGAACAAGAGTATCCTGATTTGGTGACAGGTGCTTCTCCGAAGACCTCCCGAGAGCTGTGTCCAGTGCGCGCTTCTTTCTAGGCGCCTGGACGGAATTTTTGGTCTGGTTCCGGCGTCCTGCCTTCATCTCGCTTGCTCGCTGCATTGGTGACGGTGGCGGCCGGCCGCAGTCCCCTTCGATAACTTAATTAGATAGGCTGATCACAGGACAGAGACCAGTGGTATGGGGAAGTAGGCTTCAAGCATGCGGGAACTACGAACGAGGCAGAAAGGCCCAGCGCGCCAGTACTTACCACTTAGTACTTACTCCTCACCAAGATGCCACGCAAGTACTATTAGGACGACCTTACTACTAAAAAAGAAGGCCTGCGTTTTCTCACTTCAGCGCGGCTTCGTACTATCGCCCTCCCGGACCTTGCACCTTGTTTACATCGCAAATCATCTCGAGAGATAGCTATACATGCCCAAATCTACGGAGATAAAGAAGACATAGTGCCGGGCAAGTTCTACTAACACCCTAGAGCTGACCATAGATCTGTTTAGTAGACGAGGCCCCCGGCGCCGTACCCGTACCCAGCCCCGTATGCGCCACCATATCCACCATACCCCCCAGATCCACCGCAGCCGCCAGCGTAACCACCGGCGGCGGCGCCACCCCACCCGCCATATCCGAGCTACACAGAGGGAGATGACATATTACGATGTTATGAAAGGGAATTTGAAGATATTAATAGAGGGGACTGACCCCGGCACCGTAGCCAACTGGAATCAGATGAGTGAACACAGGTCAGCATAAATGTTGCAAAAGGGAGAGAAAGACAAGGAAGGCGTCTTACCGGCGCCGAGCACTGTTGTTAGCAGACGAGGTCGGTTAGCAATCAACCTTCTCCGATAAATGAAAATATCTATCGGCTGACCTGGCTGAACAACGGGTATAACAGGGACGACGGGGCGGACCACTTGGTAGACGGGTAGAACTGGCACAACAGGCTGGACTACTGGGATGACTGGGACAACCGGGACAACAGGCTGGACGATGGGGGCAACAGGGACAACTGGTTGGACGACCGGGGCGACAGGGGTAACTGGCACGAAGGGCTCAGCGATGGGCTGGACAATCTGGGCCGACGCTGCGACGTTTCCGCCGACGAGGGTGGCTTGGGTTTCCCCGGAGAGGGCGAAGATGCTCAGGAGGGAGACGAAGACCAAAGGAAAGGCGGTCATGATGACACTTGAGGCGACTGGGACCGGCACTGTTCTCTGAAGGGGAATTTCTGACGGTGAGAGGGGGGTAGCGTAGAGGACAGAGGAGCGAACACTTACTAAAAGAATGGAGTGGTGAGTTGTTGGAGGACGTACACCGTGTCGCGGAGGCATTTATAGCCGTGTATACGGTGCAAGGGTGCTGGGATGGTGCGAGTCCCTAGGTCAGCATATGTCCGAATTGAGGTTAGTTCATCATCTAGTACCCTTGGGCGGAAACACTGCTGCCGCAGGGCCGGTGTAATAGAATGCCGGACGTCTTGACCATGGACGGCGCGGCTCACCGTGATGCTTGACATCCTCTCATGGCCGACAATCCCACAAAACGAGAGAAGCCGGGCGGCTACCCATAGCTTGCCGTCAGCGCGCATTGCTAACCTTATGGCATGATGAGAGAGTAGGTCAGGGACATCAGATTGAAAGATACGCCTGAGAACGATGGGGTCTATGAGCCATTGGATGTTATTCATCTGAGATTCTGACAACGGTTGACCGACCGATCAATGGCACCTCTAGCGTCAACCGAAAGACACTAGTGCAAAGCTTCCCAGCATTGAAGGCATCGGGCCCAATGGCACGCGATAGTCAGCGGTGTTTGAACGTCCGCAATCCATGTCTGCGCTGATGGAGGAAGACGGAGGTCAGGGGTGCAGCATGCGTTCTCGGCCACACCTTCGCCGTCTTGAATTTCGATGCTCGTTGCAGCGGCGGGGAGGCTTGCTGAGGCCTTAGTCGACGAAAAAGGGACAATGTCTATGGACATTCCCAACGCTTGGTCGATGTCGGTCATAATGTCAGTAATCAGCAGCTTGCCATCAAAGCCGGTGAAGTGGCTGTGTCTTACGAAGGCGTGGCTGACATGGGGGTGGTTTATCAGATCGCTTCTTCGACATATGTAGCTTAAGCTTACGATTGTCAGCCGAAATCCGACATCCACGCTCAATGCGCACAGCACGGAGATTTATGTCTGCTATACGTTTCGGCCCGGGTGAGATAATCTCTTTCTAAGGCGGGAACAATCTCGGAATCAGCGAGAGACAGACCAATCACTGTTCGCAATGGGGACATACCGGGAAATTTGTATCTGCAGATCTGTGATGGATTCTGGGTGGCTCTGCTATATCTGAGCTGGGAACCAGCTGTACCGTTCGAGATGACTGTATCAGTAAAGCGCGTCCGATTAACACGGGTCGCACTCTCGAGCGGCTTGTGGGCCGGCCTAGCTTGTGCGGTCTTTGGTCACTGGAGGCTGCACGATGGGGCACATACAGAGTACAGTCTTGCCGTGGGCATTTCCCACTTCCCAGTTGACGTTGCTTGATTGATACAGAAACACAAAACTCAACACTGCGAGATGTATACTGCCAATTCGTGCTCATATGCCTCCGACCTTCACGAGAAGGTGCTGCCCTCTGGAGGCTGAGGAAGTTTGCGATTATTGAACGAAGCCATCTCCCTGATAGTTTATACAGTGAGTTGTTTGATCACACGGATAGAAACTTTGTACGCACCGCCGTATCTCCACTAAGACAGTCTCAATACTGTGGTTCCTGTTCCAATGCGCGAGGACGGGCAGCTTAGACGGATCGACCTTGCCGTCTACTTGGCTGACAAAGGGAAGATTCACGCGAGATATGAACTGAATTGTGGGCGGCGCATCCGGGTAGTTCTCGCCACAAGTGATCTTGAGGCTGTAGATGCGGTTCTCATGGACAGTCTAACGGGTGAGAGCGTACATGATAAGTCGCGATAGCGTCGATCACAATGAGAGCAAAAGCGGTTGGTATACTGACATGTCCTGGACCAATTATCGTGCCGTTCCAATGGCTCATCATGATATCGTCTCCATCCTCGAGACCATACGAACAGGAGCCGTCTCCGATACCCTTCTCGCCCTTCTCGAGCTCCTCGAGCAGACGGAAGTTACGTGGGACTTGTGCAGCGTGTCAGTGGTGCTGATGGGCTTGGAGGGAGATCAAACAACGCACCTTTGGCCATGGTAGAGGAGATGAAGAGAGTGTATTCGGGCTCAGTGGCTGAAAGAACGGTGGCGTCGGCCCCAGTCGAGTAAGTAGGAGTCGGCAACGGCCGGGCCGTCACCGCCTCGCCGGGGTGGAAAGCGGCAAGTGCTCATCATACTCACTGTATCCCGCAGTCGACGACGCAACCCTCTCCGTCTCTTTCTTGTTCTCTTACTCATCCGTACGACACGCACGACACTAATCCCACCGCACTCACTGATCATGTTCAGAGGCGGCCAGCCCAATCCATACGATGACATCGTCGGTTAGTCGCCATTACTTCCCGCGGAGGTCACCCAGGCGTCTCAACATTGTTCACCTCTTTAGCGAAGACTACCGATGAGAACCTGACGGGCGAGAATTGGGAGTTGATACTCAATCTCTGTGATAAGGTCCAAGAAGAGGGCGAACAGGGGTGAGTACTATCCGTATCTGTCGCTCCACGGCATGTCCTGATTGTCTTTCGCGATGTAGTGCGCGAAATGTGATCGCTGCGTCGCTGAAGCGTTTGGCGCATCGCAACCCCAATGTCCAACTGTATACCCTCACATTGGTTGAAGCATTGTCCAAGAATTGTGGCGTTGAAGTGCATCGAGAGATTGCCTCCCGCGCATTCACGCAAGGCTTGGAGAAGCTGGTGACCGATCGGGTTTGTACCGTCCTTCCAATGGCTATGCAATCAAGTTCGAGCCCTCATTTTCGTTTTGTAGACAACGCACGACAGGGTCCGGAAGCGCATCTTGAATCTGGTGGCCATTTGGACCGCCGAGTTTGAGAAGGACCCAGCCCTTGGCTTGATGGAGGAATGCCATGAGAGTCTCAAGTCCAAAGGTACAAGGAGAGCACTGCTTTTGACGCGCACACATCAACTTAACACTGTTTCCAGGTTTCAAGTTCGAAACTCCTAACGAGCCTCCTCCACCCGATGTTGATGACGAGGTACGGCGCCGAGAGGAGGAAGAATTGCAGCGAGTGCTGGAACTGTCAATGCTCGACAAGGGTGGTCGTTCACAGTGGAACTCGTACTCGCTTGCATCGTCTACAGGCGCCAGTGGTTCCGGGGTAGGAGGCTCGAGGCAAGGTTTGCCGTCATCATCTGCTACTTCAGGACCCTCCAGCTCCTCATCTGGGCCCGCGGGCGCACCTTCGTCTCAGTCTTCGCAGCCGCCAAGTTACGGCGGATACGTCCCTTCGTCGGCCACCCCTGCGGTTGCTTCTGTTCAACCTCACCAATCTCCGTCGACTGTCTCCACAGTTTCGAGTGTCACTGTTACCAGCTCCTCACCAGTCTCCGTTCATTCAAACCAGGACAGTATCCCTATCGTGACCCGTGTCAGGGCGCTCCACACCTTCGAACCTTCAGAGCCGGGAGAACTCGCTTTCGAAAAGGGTGACATCATCAAGGTCGTCGATCGCAACTACAAGGATTGGTGGAGAGGGCAGCTGAAGGGTCGCACTGGTATATTCCCGGTCAATTATGTGGTATGTACACTCCATCTGCCCATATTGCTGTGGGCTCAACCAGCAATCCGTAGGAACCTTTGCCCGAGCCTACCGCGGCGGAGATCGCTCGTGAGGCTGAGCAGGAGGCGGCCGTCTTCGCCCAAGCAGCTAATGTTGACCGTCTACTTCTGATGCTTCGTACCATGGATCCAGCGAAGGACAACCTAGCAGACAACGAGGAGATTCAGGTATGTACCTAAACTGTTCTGTGTGTTGTGAGTGAGAACTGAGGCATGTGTAAAGGAATTGTATCGATCCTGCATGACATTGCGTCCCAAGATTGTGAAGTTGATTGACAAGTACTCTCAGAAGCGGGGTATGTTTCGTTCATGTAGATCAAGAGATGTCTCTTCTCATTTTGTGTTACAGCTGACCTCGTATCAATGAACGAGAGCTTTGTGAAGGCACGATCCATTTTCGACAGGATGATGGAAGAGAGCTTGGCTCGCCACACCGGTGGTATGTGATTCATATTGGATCCCATAGCCTATCCCACCTGACTTCTGGAAAGTTTATGATGGTCGACCACCATACATGCAAACGTCCAGTCAGCCTTACATCGTCCGACCTGACTCTCGTGCTCGCCAGGAGTATCTGCCACAAACTGGGCCCCAGATAGCTCCTGGCGGACCTCAAGCGTACGGCTGGAACCCGACGTTGTATGATCAGCCGGGCTACAATGCTTACCCCGCTGCGCCTGCCGCTTATCCTGCAGGTCCCGAAAATCAGTATCCTGGCTCTCAATCACCGTATGGTGATCCTAACGCATACACAGCGCGTCCGCAGTCGACGTACGGTCAGCTTCTCCCACAGGGCTACCCTGGCCAAGGCCCCACTCCGTATGGCTTGCCTCCCACGGAGCAGCAAGGCACTCCGTATGGCTTGTCCCCTGCGGAGCAGCAAGGCTACCCTCCTCCTGGAAGCCAGCATCAGCCACCGCCCGCAGGTCCTGGTCCTCACTTTGGTCAAGGACCCCAGGCCGGCCCTGGTCTTCAGCCTCAGCCCGGTCTTGGTCCACAGCCTGGGATTGGTCCTCAACCCGGTGGGGGACCTCAGCTCGGACCTCAGGGCGAGCCGATTCAGGGCTACGCTCAGCCCGCCGCTGCTCCAGACTATCACGCGCAAGGAATACCTCATTCTGTTGCTCAACCGCAGTCCCAGCCACAACAAGCTTACCCCCAGCCGGGAGTGCAAATCGAGCCGCAGCCTCAGCCTCAAGCGCAACAGCAACCTTTGCCACAGGCTCAGCCTCAAGTCGAGCCAGAGCCACAACCGGAAGCCTACACACAGCAACCACAATCTCCCCAAGCTGCCCAGCAACAGCCCGTACAGCAACAACCCGCGCAGCAGCAGTCGTCGCCGGCGCCTCAGCAGCAGAGCGGCCCGCCCTATGTCTACGACCCGAACACGACTTACGCGGACCCTAATGTACAAGCGTGGGCCCAGTACTACGCGCACGGCGGCACCGACCCCACCGGTTCCGTGTACTTCATCTCCGTGCCTGGGGTCAAGGAGGGTCCCCCGCCCGCGTCGCGCACCCAGTCTGTCGACTCCGCCACGTCCCCGGACGGGACGCCCGTCGGGCAGGCTGCGCAGACTGCTCAGCTGAGCATCCACAAGGGGCAGCCAGCTGGGGAGCAATCGCAGCCGCAACCGCAACCGACGACGTATGGTGCTTCGCCCTATGCTCCCGCTGCGTCATTGCCTGCCGCGGCTCAGGAGCCGTCCGCTACAGGCCAGCCTTATTACGGGTTGGAGAATCAGTTTGCGGGGATGGGTATAAGTGGCAACGGGCCGCAGAACGGACAAGCTCCGGGGCCACAAGGCGTTGGCGCGCCAGCGTGAGGTGGTATGTACCTGGACGTTGATGGTTGACTATAATGATGAGCCGTGTCTCTTGGGCACAGTGTAAGAGTGAACTATATATTCCTTTGACTTACGTATGGCGCATGTGTCCAACAATGTCTTCTTCGTGCTCTCCCGGCGATTCTTTAGTGATTGCAATGTCCATGAGTAACTATTTTATCGCGGAGACTTAAGATGTGACCTTGGTTCTCGCACCAGACATTGTGCAGTCGTTGGCATATCAAACTTTTGTACTTAGGAATCGTTCGCACCTATTTGCGCGTGCGTTCGCCGCTCCGTATGGACCGACTAGAGCGGCCGCCTTGATTCGTTTCTCAAGATGTAAATACTACATATATGTCACTTACTAACATCGATTCGTAGACTTCCAATGACGAACCAGGCATGACTCCATCAAACGTGTTGGTAGATGGATCATCGCGGCTGGTCCCAAACAGGCAGCTGACCGACAGCGTTCACATTACAAATACCGCACGGCGACTGGAGTTACATATGCGAACGACTGTATGTACACAACATTGACGCATCCATATGACACGCTTCTACCGGAGATACAACAGGTCGCTTGCAGGGAAATGAGACAAAAATGACCAATGACCGCGCCTCAATGCTCGGAGTGAGGATCGAACTCACGACCTCAGGATTCCCCGCCGAAAGCGGTCATACTCACGTATGAGACCTGCGCTCTAACCAACTGAGCCATCCAAGCATGAATGTACTTTAATGTGGTTATGCTATGTCCGGCAGCAACGTTGGATATGTCGTCACCGTCTTTGAGGAGTGCTGCTGCTGCTGCAGCAGTGCTGCCAGTACTTGCTACGGAGGAACAAGACCGCCTTGCCATACTTGTTCTCGCCTTGGTTCTTCCAACACACCCCGATCTGCGAGCATTCCTCTATAGCGGGTTCATGCCCGCTAAGCACATTGCATCCTCACACCTACCGACGCCACTGTCTCGAGTACATTGGGGCCTCGCGTGCCTGTGAAGTCATTCTGTAGCTGACCCGAGGCCATAAGCTATTGTGCCCCTACCACTGTTCTCAACCACCCCATCATCCTCAAATGGCCCCTCAGGTCGACTTAGTTCTCATCTTCCGCTCCTCTCCAGGCAGAGTGCTCTCGAAGCCCCAAGCACGCGAGAACGCACGACAGGCCACACAGCAGTATACGCGACTCCTCGAGGCCCTGGGGAAAGGTCGCTTGCAGGCCGTCGGGAAGCGTGGAGAACAGGAGGGACAGTTGCTCGTGCTCGTGCATTGTCCGGAACAGACTTTGAAGCGGTTGGCACAACGGGAGAGGTACGCGCTGAGCCATCTTCTTTTCAAGCTTATCTTGAAGCCATGTCGTGCAAGGTATTCCGACTTCCTGTGTGGGCTTCCCACTGTAAACCCCACGGGAGCCAAAGATCTGTCTCAAGAACCTCTCAGTCCTGCGGATCGCTTGCGCCTAGTTCACACATACGTGACATCCACTCATGCCGACGGCGGTTTGGGTGTGGCTCCTGGATCATCCGATTGGGACCGCGTCGAGTCCATGATGGTATTGCACGATCACTCATTCAACCAAGAATGGATCCGCACCTGGACGACCCTTCAACACGGCTCCGTAAAGTTCGATGATATACGGAAGCAGGTACGCCCTGGCTATCGTTCTAGATGGTTCACCGCACGCTAACATCCACGCAGTTCGGCGATAGTGTCGCGCTCTACTTCCATTTCCTCTCCTTCTACACCAAACACCTCGTCTTCATCTCTGCAACCGGTGTTCTGTTCTACTTCTTCGCCCCGCCATACTCAACGCTCTACTCCTCCCTCCTCCTACTGTGGTCAATCACATTCGTCGAATCGTGGCGCATCAGGCAACAGCAGCTTTCGGTACGATGGGGTACAAAAGGCTCGTTCCGCGTCGAGAAGCGTAGAGCGCAGTATACTCCGCTTTCCTGGTGGCGGAAAGACCTCAGGGCGCTCGCGAGCCTCCCAGTGATCTTGTTCTTCTCGTCCGTGTTGGCGGTCTTGCTTACAGGTATATTCGTGTTTGAGGCGTTTGTTACTCAGCTATACACTGGTCCCGGCCATAAATTAGTGGTAAGTGAGTCAGCACTACTTCTTTTTGAATACCCCTCAAGGATTTACAGGCGTTCAGCCCTACTATCTTATTCGCTGCACTAGTTCCCCAGCTTCTCAGCGTCTACCGTTCATATGCGGTCTCATTCACCAACTGGGAAAATCATGGACACCAATCGACACACGACGCGTCCCTTACGATCAAGACATTCAGCCTGTCGGCTATAGTGGCGTATCTTGGAATTGCATTATCAGCATTTGTCTACGTTCCATTCGGCGAGGAAGTCATGAGCACGGTCCAATACTATCTCTTCCATGGCAACCCAACTGCCGCGAAGTGGCTGGGACCCATACTCTCCGTGTTCCCTGCTAACATAACGGCATCATTTAACGCGAACCACACAGCCAAGGATGCGAAGCCCCCGGTCAACGCGACCTTCTGGGAGCACGATAGCGTCTCCGCGCGGTCGAAGCTGAATCCAAAGCGACTTCAAGATCAGATGTTCGCCTTCACCGTAACCAACCAGGTCGTCAACACGTTCCTCGAGATCGGCCTTCCCTTCATCCTCCGCGCGGTCAACTCGGTGCGCAGCGGGAAGGGCCTGTCGTTCGCCGCCCCCGCTGCGGGCGCTGGCAATGGCAACGGGAACGGTGGGAAGAAGAAGCGGGTGATGTTCGAGGGCCAGTCGGCCCACTCGGAGGCGGAGCAGCTGGCCGACCAGGAGGAGCGCGAGTTCATGGACCGCGTCAAGCGGGAGGTCGCGCTGCCGGCATACGACCTATTTACGGACTACAGCGAAATGGTTACGCAGTTCGGCTACGTGTCCCTGTGGTCGACCATCTGGCCGCTCGCACCAGGTACGTGTTCTTGATCTCGGCCGCTTCGGGGAAGATACGATGGATGTCCGAGATGGACCAGGCTCGCACCTTCGATCCCGGGATTGTGAAGACGTGCATTGCGCTAGTCCAAGTAATGCACGTCACTACGAACGAGGGATAGATGCGAGCCTTCGGTCTTCCGTGGATACTTCCCTGAGTAGCACGTATATGCGAAGCGGAATGTCTCATCTGTTTGTTCATAGTGATGTCTCTGATCAACAACTGGCTGGAACTGCGGTCTGACGCGTTCAAGATAACCGTCCACGTCCGGCGGCCCATCCCCACGCGCACGGACACAATCGGGCCCTGGCTCAACACGCTCGAGTTCCTCACCTGGCTCTCCGCGCTCACGAACTCGGCGCTCGTCTACCTCTTCCGCCCGGGCAAGAACGAGCAGTGCAAGCCCGTCGGCACGTCGCTCTCGCACGCGCACCACCACCTGAGCTCCCCAGACGCGTCACAGCAGCAGATGCTCCTGTCTGCGCTGCTCATCGCGCTGGGCGCGTCCCACGGGTACATCTTCGTCCGCGCGGCGGTGCGGCATACGCTCGAGCGCGTGCTCTGGCGCGGGAGCAAGGAGGAGAAGGAGGCGGATGGCACTGAGACGCTCGTGAAAGAGGAGTACCTCCGGACCCTGGGCGTCGCGGACGTGGTCGGCGCGGAGGAGACGGGGGTTGAGGCGGGCGTCGTGGCGGAGTCGGAGGCCGGGTCGGCGGCGTTTTGGAGCCACGACGAGGGCTTGGACGAGCTGAGCAGGGGGACGAAGGAGGCGTGAAGTGCTGCATGGGAGGCGCAGCGTGTCGCCGGTGTGCGGTTTCAGGGGACAGATTGGCGCAGACGCATTGAGGTTGTTGCTATGGACCATTCGCTCTCTATCTCAGGCATGTGTTCGGGGATCCGGAAGTATCATATGTTTGTGCGAGAGGACTACCTGATGTCTCTCTTATATGTTTGTACACGCGTAAGGAATACTAGTCGTTCATGGACTGCGTGGGGATGCCCAGAGCTGCGCGTGCGAGGTCAGTCGGGAGGGCTGCGACGTGGAACTTTGCCAACGTGCTTTACGAAGCTTCATGCGCCAAGAACTGCTCCATAATACCTGCAATATTGATCACACAGGCAGATAGCTCTGAGCCTTGAGATATTGTTAAGTCAGCATTCTCATCCTATGCGGGAGTAGTTCCTCGCCGAGTCCCTCAGGCCTCAGGCTAGAGCCCTTCTGTGCGGCACAAATGCCGCTTAGGCTCCCGCGCATCTGTCAACTAGATGTGTTACTCTGAGCATCCCGTAGCTTCAATTGCTGCTGTAGACGTCGCGCCCGCACGTCCGCGCCAGGCCAGCGCCGGGCCACTGATACGTCCTGTTCACTGACTCCATTGTGTAAGAGGCTGACATCCGAGAGGATAGTTTTGGCGACGCATGTGCTCAAGAAGTGGTGCTGACCAACAAGGATGGTCGATTTGGCGGGACGGGGAAGGTAAGTCAGTTGACCGACATCTTGAGAGGACAGGCAAGAATGGTGGAGAAGCACCAGAACGCGGTTTGCCTTGCGGTATGACTATCGAACATGTGGTGCTACTTGTCTTGACATTTGTCCCGCCGTGACCCTGAATAAGAAGCGCGGATATGTCCTAAGTACCCCCAGAGGCCCTAGTACCGAAGACCGACGGATGTCTCGGACACGGCTGCGTCCAGCTAGTGCTGCTTCTGTTTTGCGTTGCAGAGAAGTCTGTGTCGGCCCTTTCACTCTACGCTTGTGGTGGACTGTGCTACTAAACCTCACTGACGCGGCGGAATGCAAGACGACCTGGCTGAAACGGCAAGACACGGTGCGGATTGGCGACTAGAGCGGCTTCACGACCGCTTGGTTGCCATGTTGCGGGCCAGTTGTCGCTCGTACATTTGATCAGCGCGTTCCGTAAATGGGAGCGTGGTCCTCCGGAGATCGGGCTTTTAATCATGGAGAAATTGTGTGCCAGGCCGACGGGTCCAATTCCGTACACTCGTTACGTTTACGCCGGACCCCATGATGGGGATGTTTACTTCTGTGCGCTTGATACAGCGATATATTTTATCGAGGCTGTTGAGGGGTTGCTGCCTGTGTCGCAAAGCTTGCTGAGGCTAGATAGTTTGAGAGGATGTGGGGAGCGACTTTCGGATGTTTGGGGGAGCGGGCTGAGCGCATCAGGGATGGGCGTCGGGATTTGCCAAAACAGGAAAGGTAGGAATTGAATTTGACCACGGGCCAGGCACGGCGTGGAGCCGGTTTTGCGACTCAGACCGACCGACGACGACGACGCACGGGTGCGCATCAACTGCCGACATTCCTTTGCTATTCCGCTCGCTACCTGACAACTGTCCTTTCTCCATCTTTCGTGTCTTGCCTGTCCTTGCTTGCTGCCTGCTGTCGACGCTCGTGACGAACAGTACCATCCCAAGGCGCTCTACGTACACGCCGCCCGGCTATATCGCCATACCTACAGCGTTCCCTACACGTGCTGATTATTCACGCCTTGCCCTCGAGAACGCTTCCCGTGGCCTGGACTAAGCAGGGTTCTCCTTCGATCTTGTAATTATGTCGGTATAAACTTCTCGCACCCAGACCGCTCCCGCAGCTCTCACACTTCCTGCAGGCTTAATTAGCTGTGCTGCTCAAGTCTCGACGACCTTTGGATATTGCTTGTGACGTTAGCATTATTTCTGCCAGTGAGTATCCTCTCTTGTGTCCACACACTACATTTGTGTCGTGGATATCCCGCAACGTGTATTCACCATCTCCCTGCGACTGGCCTCCGCAGCATGTCAACGAAGTACGGTGTGGTGGCACGGCCTGCCAAGCAGGTCTACCCTGGCCCCTTCGATCCTACCCTACTGCATATGGACCGCCAAAATGCGTCCTACCGCCCTGTTCAGTCCAATCAGAGTTTTCCTCGGCGCGCGCCGGCCGACCTGAGCACACAGTCCCTTCCTCAAAGCGGTTGGCTCTCAGACGTTGCAGCGTTCACCGCCTCCCCGCCCTCGCAGGGCCAACGTCCTGTCGGATCCGTCCCCGGGAGTGCACCCATCACTAGCCCTGCCTCGCTGAGCGACTCTGGCCACATGTCCCCTCGCACAGTGCATCGCGCTCGCTCACGGGACCATCTGCTTTCTGCGAGCCCCAATCCTCCTGCTGTTTTCTCCTCTGGCTCGCCGTCGCCACGCCCATCTCCAAGCCCGGTCTTGTCTCCTTCGCGCACCCTTCATACATCGCGGTCGTTCTCAACTGTCACTTCGCACAAGACTCTCGCCCTCTCCTCCGACGCTAGCGGGCACCTAGACCTAAAACGTCTCATGAGCAAACCCGCCAAACAAGCATCCTCAGGCTCGCCCTCCCTCGTGTCGGACTCAGAGCGTTCCACTGGCGATCCCTCATCTAGCCAAGTCAGTTTCCCTCATCGCCCAAGCGAAGGTGCCATTCCCCGCCCTCCTCTCTCCAGGAGCGCACATGCATCTCGTGAGAAGATGTCGCTGCATGTGAACACTACTGGCCTGCGTTCGTCATCCGTTCCCCGTCGGGGCTCCTCATCGTCTCCGGGCGATGACAGTCTCGCAGGCAAGTCTACACGCAACGCGTTACGTCGGCGCCCGAGCGCTCGTTCGAACCCAACTACGCCCGCTACACACCACTCGCGCTCAGCGACGGACGACTTGACTCGTCCGGTGGGCACTCCCACCGTACAGCGTGTTCCATACCAGCTGCACGCTCATCGTGACTCCGGTGCGCCGTTCGCTGCATACATGAGTCCTAGCCGACCGTCGACATCCCCATCTGGGCTCCCACCTCGCCCAGTCACGTCCCCTCTGGTGAAGGGGTCCAACTCTCCCAGCAGATCGGAGAGTCCTAGAGGACTGACACCGGCGGGCGCCGTTGCCCTCGCATACAAGCAACAGGAGCAGCGTCGCGAGGAGCTAGCCGAGACAGCGTCTTTCAACGATGCTTACCGTCCCTCGTCGGCTACTCCGCTCAAGTCTGTGAGCTCCCCGCGATCCGGATATGACAGTGCAAACGACGAGGCAACTAGCGGGGGGCCATACTACACAGTATTCGGTGGCGCTTCGGGTCGGTTGGTGGCTGTGGGGAGTCCGCAGGACGATGACTGGTATCACGGCGTTCACGAGACACGCGCGACCGTCTCGCTGAATGGGAAGCATGTCCCGAGTGGCTCGCGAAGCTTGTCGAGGAAGGTCTCCGGCTCATTCAAGCGTGTAACCGGATCCATCAAGCGCGGAGATCGCGACCATCCAGAGCTTCCAGTGCCTTCGCCGGAGGATTGGAAGCCTTATGATGGTTCTCAGGGCCGATCTCATACACACACACCCTCGAAGGTTATGCGGAATCCCACCTTGCTGAACCCAGCGATGAATGGGAAGCACAGCCCAAGCGATTCGTCAGCCACGAAGAGCAGCCCCTCCCCGAAAGAATTTGGCCGTCCTGCACAGTCATCGAAGCTCAAAGGAGACGAACACGAGGAGGATAGGACGCCGGGTTCAAAGTGGTGGAAGCTCATGAAGCGACTAAGCACAGGGGGGCTTCGCGAGAAGTACCAACACCCTGACACCTTGCCGCCTCCAGTTCCCGCGCTCCCACAGAATCTGCAGCTGCCTTCACCCTCGCGGACGACGCTGGACATCACGGGCCGCGGACCTAATGGGGAGGAGGTCACTGAGGAAGGGGTGTTGTTGCGCAAATTCATGCAGTCGCGTAGGTCGCTGTCCGGGGTGCGCCCGAATCCGTCTCCTCCCAAAACCCCCCCGTCCACAGGTTCCTCACGGCCCGGTGCTGGCAACACGAACACTACAGGGCGGCCGTCGACTGGGAATACGACGAAGAGTCGTGCGAGCACATCTGGCCATCGTCCTAGTACGGCGACACGGTCCTCTTCTCCGGGGTCGTCCGAGATGGCCTCGTCCAGCCTTTTTAATCACAATCGGACGCCGTCGACACGGTCATCCTTCTCGTCCTATGGCGAGGAAATCCCTCCTTTGCCAAGCTCTGTGGGCCAGTATATCGTTTCGCCTAGCGAACTCTCGCGCATGACCAAGTCTTCTGAGCACACTTCATCTCCGCTTACACCCTCACAGCTCAAGGGCCGCACTCGAACGCAGAGCCGTTCGCATACCGCGCCTCCGGAAGACGGCGCCTCTCCAGAGGAAAGGCACCTCCCTTCCTTACCTCTCCCTCCACGCAGGGTCACCACCGGCTCCGCCATTTCACCCACTGCACATTCGTTCAACGTTGAAGATACCATCGACAAGCTTATGCCTTCCATCACATCCGTGCCGCCGCCTCTGGGAGAGTTCGGGATGAACGAGCCGCCACCTCGTCCCAAGCGCAGTTCGCGCCGCGCGCCGCCTCAGCTGAACGTCGAAGTTCACGCTCGTTCGCAGTCCGCGTCTGCGACGATGCCCCTATCCCCGCAGACGCCCCGCGCTCCTCCGCAGGTCCGTGTGGACGTTGACCTCATCCGGCGCCCTTCGGTGGGTGCGCTGAGTCACAGGTCCACCCCAAAGCCCAACTCTGCCACTTCCTCGAGTTCGCCTTCGTCCAATTCGCCGTCGTCGGCGGTCTCCCAGAAGCGTTCACCGCTCACGTTCCGCGAGCTGGAGAGCCCGCGGCACAAACTGACAGAGAAGGAGAAGGCGGCTAAGTGGGAGGACCTGCTTGAGCGCAGCGCGCGGGCCGGGGGGACGCTCCATCTGGGAGAGTCGAGACTCATGTCCGAGGAACCTGATATGCTCGGGGACGACCGATCTGTCTTTGATGCGGACGATTGATGCGTAGGTGCAGTCGATGGGAGCTTGACGATGACGAGCATGGCCTCGTCGTGTGTAAAAGCCGCGCTTCCATTGTTTGTTTTGGTATAGAGCTGATACATACATTCGCAGTCCCCCCTCTACCTCACCTTTAATCATGTCTTCCCTCGTCTGCTTTGCAGCGGCGGACAACTCTTAATGTCGCTATCGCTCTCTCTGTAGTCTGTTTCGTGCTCTCCCACATACCCGATGCATATCACTATTCCCAACACATCTAACCTGCCCACCTACCTACGCATGTACATGTTTGCAGAACTACACACTAGTCGATCATGCTGTTTGTTCATGCCGTACAGTCGTTACAAATGTAGGCTATTTCTTTGCCTAACAGGCACATCGAGGGCAAGCGTTTTCGAGTTCGCTCCGCGCGCGTGTTGTTTACGTCGAGCGGACCGAGCGTACATACGCCGCCACACCCATCCACAACGGTACATACCACAATTCGGCGTCCCTGCGATCTAGGAACGGCGATTTCGGACGGAGATCCTCGCATTGCGCCTGGCGGCGGCTGATCTGCATTTTCCAACGATCGCAGGGGGCTGGAGCTCCGCTTTGAAGCTGGTACGCTGGAGGCGAGATCTCGACTACATACTCCAGTCTCACAGATTGGCGGGTTTGCGTGTCTCCGGTGAGCTCCGACGTGCTTGTACGAGGTGTTGCCCATTCTGTGTCGTAGGGCTACAGGAATAATAGCCCTGACAGACTTTCGCAGCTCAGACGCACAAAGATATCGTGAGGGTCCCACGCACCGTTTGAGGTGTCCCTCGAGGCGTTGAGTTTGTTCTGGAAGCGGGTGGATGTAGAGAAGTGCTGTTATAATTAGTCCCAAGACGATAACTCGCTGGGAATGCGGATCCTGTAGAGGCCCGAGTCCAACACGAGTTAGGAGGAACAAAACCGTGGATTGCAACCGAGATACGCGACTACTCCGGATTGATCAGGATGCATGGCTGGCGGAATCGCGGATACCTCGAGATCGGGCTAGCTGTGTCACGGCAGGCATTCTGGGATTTTGTATCAGAGAGTGGTCGAAGAAAGGGGGAGGCAGGAGGCAACCGCCCGCCCAATTTTCCCGTTTCACGAAGACTTTGTTCGGAAGAAGCTACGTTATCACGGGTAGTTTACCTCGTGCCTTTCCTTCTTTCATTAAAATATCTGTACATTTCTCTAGTCGAAAATGAAAACATCGGAATGCCTGCCGTGCGCGTTCGAAGCATGTCTGTATTCAGCTGAGGGCTGAAGATCTGAAGAGTTACTATGAGATTTTGTGTGGATGCAATCAACCCATCATAGCCTGAGGCAAGGTCGCATTACATTGCACTAGGAACGTTTCGCTGAAGCCCTTAATGGGGGTAGGAGACCTGCAATCGTGACAAGTACCAACGGCCTCTGGCGGCTCAGTGCTCGCTCGCTGCCCCCGCGCAATAAAAGACACGAGAAAAGATACGAGAGGGTGTTCGTGCACGTCGTTGTCGAGCGACGCCAGGCCATTTGGAAGACAGATCACGGCACCAACGACTCTAAGTCACGATTGCATGAGTGAAGAGGGGCCCCACAACACCATCGCCGGTTCAATGGATAACATGCAATGCATTTCCCTCGATGTTACAAGGCGAACTCAGTCCCGTCTACTCTGACTCAAATTTTGTGTAGCCTACAAGGTTGAGATGTCATCCGCCGGTGCCTCATCTTCCCCTCGTCAGTGTGTCGCTCTCACGACACGGAGAGTCCAGACTCTGTGACCTAGAGCGCACCGCAAAGTTCCAGAGGCGGGAAACAGGCGCCCAAAAATCTTCCCATCAACGGCGTTCTCGCCTACCACATGGACACCTGCCTGTTTGGGTATACAAGCGCCAGAATTGCGCACGGACAGCCAGGTGGACGCATTGGGCACCAAGAGGGCGTCTGTGTGCCAGAAAAGGCAGGTGTCCATATGGCCGTCAGTTCCCTGTCCCAGGCTACCACCACATCGCGCCGTCGCTTCTCCCAGGGATATGCCCTGCACGGCAGGTAACAGGGTGATTCTCGATTGGGGAAATTCACTTAGATTCAAGGAGACGGCAATCGCCTGCCATTTTCACTGTCCGGCGAGGCAATGTTTCCTAAAAGAGGTTATCTTATGCGTCCCCTCTTCATCGACTTTTCGCCTATCGAACAGGCGCGATTTCCTGCCGTGCCGGGTATCCCGAGGCGGGTCCGTTGGAGACAAGGAAGGCGGCGACGCCTGAGCTCATGTCGACACTAGAACGTCGTAAAGCCCCGGTCGTAAAGTCGTACAGTGTTGTGTTGCACGTAACATCTGAAGGCTTGTTGAGGAGAAGGTGGGTGAGCTCGAGGATAAGGTGTATAGCGCTCTCCCATGTGAGCGTCTTCTGGAGTTCACTCTCGCGCCGACGATCCCGAGCGGTAGAACGAATACCCTCGTGGTCGGCAAACGGAAAAGATAAAAATCACCACTAATGTTGTAAGCGGAGAGATCGTAGATGCACTCACAGACTCCGAGCGGGGATCTCCGCCAGGGCAATGATAATCCTGCTCCAAAAAATCGCTCCCGGCCAGGCGAGATACGAGACAGTGGGAAAGGTTTACGCGGTTTAACCACCAACCGTTGTCGCCCAATGCCACTACTCACCGGTCTGCAACGTCCATGGGACCTGCCAGAGTAGCAGGATGTATGCTCGAGGGAGGGTCCGGTAATTGTTCGATGAATGTGTTTGCGGATCCCAGTCTCGCGCTAGCAGAGCGAAACAGGGCGAGGGGGAAATGTCCGAAAAGCATGCATTGAGTCACGGCACATGGGCAGGGGGTACGCGTCGGTGCTGCGGCAGGACGTTTAGCGACTGCTTACCTGGTAGGACCTTCCCACTATTGCGCTCCAGTTCTCAGCCCGAAACGACGGCCCGGTCCGTGTCCATGATAGCGGCAGAGGGCCCGCAGTCCGACCGCACGACTGTCGGGAGGGACCCTAGATAGATTGCGGTCTGGGTCGACCAGGCGAGGGCGTAAGCGAGGTCGATTGTGAGCCCGGCGAGGTGGAGATGAACGTGGGAATGCGAGAGGCGTTGAGTATGGGCCGCGCGGGGGATTGGGCGCTTGGCTGGGGCATTCGCGGAAGGGAAGCTTCCTCCCTTGGGACCGTGTTTAGGCACCCAGAAGGGAGTGCGACCAATGCAGCATTGAGCACTGGGATGCGATCCAGGTGCTCACGAGCCGGATAGCAAGCAGAACAACCCCGGTGGCGCTCATGAAGGGATTGCTTGTCGTAACCATTTCCAGCTGCCGATGCCTCTCGAGAAGAACTTGCTGACGAAGAGCGCGTGTTCGCGGGGAGGTCCACTACCATGTTTCGGAATGAAGAAGCTCAGGGATGCAGATCCGAATTCGGGGCACGGGAAGCGGAACAGTCCACGTCCGCCCGTTTAACGTATGAGGCAACAGGCGGCCTCGTCCGTTGCATGGGGCACAACGGAGAAAAACTCTGCGACGGTACACGTGAGAATGCCTGGATGGGATGCAGCGCAGTCAGGACAGCCTTTCCGGAAACAGAGGAGGCCACGTTGCCTGAGTGCCCAGACGACGGTGCTATCCTCCCGATACGGATATACGCACTGTAAGCGAGCGGTCGAAGCCCAGAGCAAATGAATCCCAGGATGATGCGAGGATGATGAGGGGATTATAAGCGATACGTCGAGGAATATATAAAGGGACCCGGGACGCACTCACTGGCTTTGCAAAGGCGACCTTCTGCAATCCGCAACCCCCACTACGCCACCGTCATCCTTGGTGTCACCCCCTGCTTGTCCCCACTTCATCGCTGTTCAAGAGACGCGCTACTTTATACTCCGTCACGATCCGTTGACCGAAGGCGTTCAAAGTCAGGTAAGCATCCTCCCCTTCATGGTCCGGATGGAGGACGACCACTAGAGCCCGGAAGTCATTAGCTACACTTGCTCAACCACGTTTAGATAGACAGCGACATGTCAACTTATCCCGTCTACGTAGTCCAACAGTACGATAGCGCCTTGCCCTCCGACCACCGCAGGCGGCTGTCTATTGTAGTGCAGACCCACCACGACCGGAAGGGCGAACCCATTGGTGACATCTATTGCGCCGAGGGATCTATCGCTTGTGGGTTCCAGTTCAAGATTTACCGAGACCAGGCGATCCGCAAGATGTACGGATACTGCGGCCGGGTCTGCGTGGGCCAAGTCGACTCGCATGGCGATCGTGGGGTCCTCGCCTTCGAGTACCAGCTCGGTCGCGTCGACACTAGGGACGGCATGAACTGGGCGTATTACGCTCTCAGGCGGCTGTTCGCCCAGGGGTTTCGCATCGACGTCTGGGCGCCGGAAGGGCTTCGGCCCATGCTGGATGAGGCGTTCGCGGCGTCGGTAGGGAACCGCCGCGCCTGAGCTGGGCTGTGGGTGTGACGCTCTAGGTCGAGGATAGGGACCAGAAATGGTGGATTGGGGGGCCATGGGGGTGACGAGCAGGGGGAGCGGAGAGCGGGAGATTACGGGACGTGATTACGAGTGAGCGAGGTAGAGGGTCTTCAGTGTTGGCGGGACGTAGGAAAAGTACCTGATTTGTGCAGGGTGATGTGTTCACGATTTTCTTTATCTCTTCCATGCTTAGGATCGTATGTTTTGTATCTTGCTGTCAATATCGTTGTCGTATGCGGCTCTTCTCCAGGTTTCGTGGTAATCCAATTATGCATGCGTCCGGAAACCGATTATGGTGACGGTACCAAGGTCGACCCCTGTCTGTCAATGATTGAGGCGAATGGGTCGCACCGGCGTCAGCGTCGAGCCGCAACGTTGCTTCATAGAGTCTCCAGAGTCAATACCCTCCAAGAAGGAAGAGCGTGGCCGGACATCCTCGGACCCTACTTGACCACGCTTCCGATCAGAGGGAATATCATGCAAGAAAGTAGGACATTCCAGATACGTAATCCGATCGACCTTATATCGAAGGGAATGAATCCTAAGAGTACAGACGTCAATAATCCAATCGCACCAATGCAACGCAGCGAAGCCGAGTCTCCACGCCTATAGCTCATGTTCACGGATTCATCTCCTGCTCCATGGGCGTGTCTGAGGTAGTTGTTGTCGGACGCTTTCCTTCCCGACCAAGTCCGGCAGCACGTTCCGATTCCTCGATCGTGTATGCGGGCTCTTTGAGAGCTTTACAGCGACGTTTGTGGACTTTACTTTTCCAGTGGGATCGGAGGGCGTGATCAGTCTCAAAATATCTGGATGGAAGCAGACTCTGTCAATACATAGTCTAGTTTTGGTTAGCTTTCGTGAAGCCCACTTTGCGCATTCTACGCAGTAATGCTGTGCCAGACCTGGCTTTTCGTAGTCGAGGGGTTGCGCTTCGAGCTTTGCGCGGGTCTATCACGAGGTACATTCATGAATCCGCGAAGAGTTCTAAGTTGCCCAGAAGTGAGACGCACCTTCGGATCCAAATCAATCAGCTGAATCTGGTCCAGATCCCGCGTTCGCGCCTGCAAATCGGGATTTTCATGAATGTCCCGGCCCTCGTTTAGCGAGAGGTGTGCGTACCCTAGTCCGTGAAGCTCTATGAACGTCTCTTTGAGCATGGTGTGTGCGAGAACGACGCAGACGACCCATTGTAGCGCTGTGTGCAACTGCAGAGGAAGACAAGAGGTACTCCTGCAGCTACAGACTCACGCCGCATCGGTGCTGTACGAAAATGTTCTTCACATCACCCCTCCTCCCTTCACAGTACATTATCTAAGCAATCTCATGGCCCAATCAGAAGCATTGCCTTTTGGGCGTCTACATGACCTCATCGGGAATTTCGTCCAGCAAACAAGCGCCGGTAGACTAGCTGGTGCTTCGCAGGTGCGTCGTCTGCACCTCTGCTCTCTCCCGTCTGGTGTCTGAGTTCCTCCTTGTGTCTCTGGACTGCACTTGTCTGAGTGACAAGTATGACATCGTTCTTGGCACTTCGCGCAGGACGCTCAGCTTGTGGAGCGATACATCCTGCCGCACCTGCTGTCACGAGTACTATCACTGCCCAGACCCGCGGGTACGCTGCTCCTGCAAAGCCCGCGAAGAAGGTTGCGTGTGCGTACAAAAGGCGCCTGAAAATGGCTTTTGAGCTT